CAGGAAAACAAGCTCATGCTGCACCAAGCTGTGGGTTTCTTCTGAGTTGCCGGATGTCAGCCCAAAGCAGAGGTAGGTGATGGGCAAAAGAGGGGGGGAGGGGGTAGGCAGAATATGCGTCCATCAAAATTGGCAGCCACCAGCTTCTAAAGCAGTAATAAAGAGGCTCCTTAACTCACACACAGAGTTGTTTTCCACCATAGACTAATCACACCCTGCTTGAAAAAACTTGTATTTTAAGACAGTAATTTCCAAGTCAGAGGTAGTCACTTTCAAGCAAGGTGGAGCCCTGGTACCGCTCCCTTTTAGAATTAAGCAGTGAAATGAAGTGTAGGGAGCTCTGTGTGACATACAGGCAACTGTGCATATTTCTAGCAGAGTTTTATCGAAGCACTAGAAATTTGCTCCCCCCCCCCACTGCAGTTCCAAAATGTCATTACAGTTGTTACGTTGTAAATGAAAGCATTGTTCTCTCGTTCTCTCTTTTTTTTTATAGCCCAAGGAATGACCAGATTATTTCAGTATTTCATTCAACTTATACAGTGACTTTCACAGTACTGAAGAGTAGTCCATGTGTTTATTTCTGCTATGATTTGATTATGAGTTAATAGCTACTGTGCAGAGATACTGCAGAGGTTCACTCGGCAGATGACCAAACACTCTGGTTACCCAGTTGAATAATAAAGAGCCGTCTCTTTGACAAACAGATCTCCAATTGTAGCACAGCATTTGTCAAAAGGCCCTTTCTGTCCTTAGTTGCATTAGTCTCATAAACGATACACAAACACATTATGCTCTTTTCAACGACAGTGCAAGCACTTGCAGATGTCACTTGTAACTGTCACTTTTTCTATAATTTAGGCAATCTTAAGAATTTAACAAAATGTGTACAAAGCCCAATTCAGTTCCTACTATTTAAGGCAGCACACTTACCCTATACATGAAGTTATAACAAAGAGAAAATTGCAGATGGCATTTAGGAAAGCACTATATTATCTCTTTTATGAAAATGCTTTGTACGTATATCTCAGCTACGGTTGCCCAAATGACTGCATCAGTGTGTCAAATTCATATGTGTCCTTCTGAAGTGACACAAGTCCTCACATAACGGGGACTTTGTAATCTCAGTTTCATAGTAGAAGCCATTTGGCTTGAATTGTGTCTACATGAAATCCATGGACCTTCGCACCTTAACTCTGCCAAGGTTATACAAATAATAGCAAATAACATATACATACCAACACTTACACCCAAAATAAAAATCTAACAGCAGCAAAAGTAAAAAATGTTACACAGCAACAGAACTGAGTCTTGCTGATTAAACGTGTCAAAATAAAAACATCTCCAACTTCTAGCAAGAGACACAAAAGGAAGCTGGACAAAGAGTACTTCAATTGGAAGGGTGTTGCTGAATTGCTACATTACAACAGAAAGGTCTTTTCTTTCATGTTCGCTTTCCAAATCTCCTGAGATGGCTCTAAGAGGAAGGCCTGGGTAGCTGCTGAACAAGGCAGCCATGTCCTGGTAGCTAGACCTTTGCCTGGAACTGGAACTGCCTTTCATTGTTTTTGTAGGAATGGATTTAGACACCAGGAGAGAATATATTTAGCTAGTACTTTTCCTTGTCTACGTTAGTGAGATCAGCAGAGTATCATCTTTCGTAGCTTAAACTTGGAAGCAAAGATAAGGTTGATTTAACCTTTTAGAAGCAATAATGCAAGATGCTTTCAGGCACACTGGATATTACTCCATTTCTCTACCTTAAAACAACAATCACACACAGAGTTCTGTGAAGAAAGAAAAGTAGTATTTACCTGCATAATATGTCGGTATGAAGGCATAATGAAGACAGGTTTATACCGTATTTTCCGTCCCATAGGACGCTCCGTCCCATAGGACGCACCTAGTTTTTTGGGGGGGAAATAGAGGAATTTTTTTTTCTTTTAATTCCCCCCCAAAACCAGGTCGGGGAACAGCTGGATGGCGGCGCTGCGCCTCCCCGCTGTCCCCCAAGCTTGTGGGGCTGGCCGATGTGTGCCCGAAGCACGGAGCGCTCTGCTTCAGCGCACCCCGCGCTCTGTGCAGTAGGCTGCTATCCGCAGCCTAGGGAGTCCTGTGGGAACTCCCGCACGGCTCCCCAGGCTGCGGATATCTGCCCGGCGCGAGGGGCGCTCTGCTTCAGGGCGCCCGTGCGCCGGGAGGCAGGCTGCTATCCGCAGCGTGGGGAACCCTGCAGGAACTCCCGTGGGCTCCCCAGGCTTCCTGAAGCCTGGAGAGCGAGAGGGGTCGGTGCGCACCAAGCTTCAGCGAAAGCCTGTATTTGCCCCATAGGACGCACACAGATTTCCCCTTCATTTTTGGAGGGGAAAAAGTGCGTCCTATAGGGCAAAAAATACGGTAAGTACTATTTAAGTTACAAAAGTACAAAAATATGTTCAAAAATGGTGAGTGATCTGCAGAGCTCAGACATGTACACGTGGTCAGCTTGGAAGCATGATGGAGAGAAAAAACATGTGCAAGCATTGTGGTTTGACTGAAATAATGTCCCCGAGTTTTTAACTGTAATAGTTTTTAGAATGTTTTAATCTGCTTTAGAATGCTTTTGCTTTGTTCACGTTTTTAATTGTATATCTGTTTTGTGGTCCTGAGCTCTTTGGGAAGGGTGGGATATAAATTAAATAAATATGACTGTAACATAATAGCTCTACATACCCTCCAAAATTTCTCCAATGAAAACAGAGACGTACTATTTAATAACAACGATTTTATTATATAAACCCACCCATCTGACTGGGTTGTCCCAGCCACTCTGGGCAGCTTCCAACATACATAAAAACATAAAAAAACATTAAACATTAAAAGCTGCCTTCAGATGTCTTCTAATGGTTGTATCTCCTTGACTCGGGGGTCATATTCTCCAACATTTCTCTGATGAAAATAGGGACGTCCTAAGGAAAACCGGGGCATTCTGGGATCAAATCAGAAACCGTGACAGCTTCTATGAACCCAGGAGTGTCCCTTGAAAACAGGGACACTTGGAGGGTCTGTTGGTTTATCTCTTCTTTTCCCAGAGTTCCATTTGGTTCCATTTCTCTTCAAGAAACAGGCACATTAATAATAAAGAGAAATATTAAGAAGGCTTTTTCAGTGGTGGTGCCCCGATTACAGAATGTCCTATAGAGAGGCTTGTCTGGCAACCATGCTATAGTCTTCTTGGCACAATGTAGACACTTTAGTGCTCTCTCAGACACAACCTATCTGGTGTTTCAGTTTTTCATACCAAACTATCTCTTGCTGGGTTTTCAATCATTTTAGCAAATGGGATGTTTTCATTTGGTGGTGGTAAGGAGAGGGCTTTATACTGCTTTGGTTTATTTTATATTGGTTTTGGCTTTTATTATGAATTATATTTTATATTGCTAAGATAACAAACAATATACAAATGTAATAAATAATAGAATTCTAAATACTTTCACAACTGCTCTGCTGAGTCCTTAGCTGGTGTCTGTGCTCAGTGAAAACGCTATTATGTCATGGACAGATTATTATGTATTGTACCAATGCCACTAACACTATTTCCCCTGCTTTTTGTTCTGAGAGTATTTTAAAAAAATGTTTGTTGTGGGGTGGGGGAGTGGGGAGGACTAGCTTGCTCTGTAAAAAAACCCAAAAAACTATGGCCCCTTTACTGCATTTTTGAGATTAAAGGTATATGAAAAGTTGCTGACCCAAGTTTCTCATATGATGACATCTGTAGGCCCCAAAGATGTGGCATGACAACCACACTATGAAGTTAATGTATAAACTGGGCAAGTGTTGAAGTCTCCTTAAGAATGATTAACAGCTTAATCCTATTGATGCTGGAGCTTCCCACTCACAATCTTTCTGTTCTTTATCCATGGGGTGTGTGCATACATAGGAACGCCAAAGGAGATTGGTATGTATGACACAACCAGAGTTCAACAGTAAAAATTACAATAAAAATGCACAGGGCAAAAGAAAACACTCACTGGCAGCAGTCAGCAAGTCATGTTTGGTGCTAGATATTATTTTTGTGTTATTATTTTTAATATATATATTAAATTTATATACCACTCTTCATCTGAGGATCACAGGGCAGTTTACTGTGTAAAACCACAAAAATATGTAATTAAAAAAAACCCACCCCCACTTGTTTAAACAAGTTTAAAAGGCCATAGATTTATTTAGCCAAAGGCCTGGAAGAAGAAAAATATTTTTGTCTGCAAACGTTTTAAGCCATTTTTAAAGCGACAGCACCATACGACTGTAATTCTAACAACTCATGGCCGTAACCAGGATTTATGTGGGGGTGGGGCAGAACCTCAGTTAGTTAAGTATTTTATTGATTTACTTAATTTAGGGGGGAACTTGCCCCTGTCTACGCCCATGTAACCAGTGGCAACTTCTGGAGACATTTTGGTTATTTGTGATATAGTGCACACTTGCGTAAAAAGGCGGCACTGGGACATTCCAGCCCATTGCTCTTGTACCATTTCCATCTCAGCTTCCCAATAATGTAGGCTGATAAATGCACAACATCTTTCTGCCCTGAGTAGAAGGCAAGAGAAGTCCAGCCGCTGCCATGGCTTTCGTTTTGTATACAGCGACACATTTGACATTCCGTTTGGACCCAGAAGGAAATCTGAAAAACTGCCAGAAGTGATGTGGCGATCCGCAAGCCCGTATGGTGCCTTTTGTTTTACTTCCTTCGCCTCTCCCCCTCCAAAAAAACCCAACTCGCCCTAGTTAAAAGTGCAAGTGTTGCTGTGCCAGGATGAAGCCGCTGAGATCCTCCAGCCAGAGCCGGGGCGACGAAGCGCTTCGCAGCGACCGTTCCCTCCAAGAGGCTGCGAGGGCTCTTCCTCGGCCTGCAGCGGACAGGGCGGCGGCCCGGGAGCCTCGAGCCCCACCCAAAGGCCGAAGGCGCCTGGCGCTCGGCCGCCCCGTCCCTCGCATCACTCCCAGGGATCCTCCCCTTCGCCCGCACGCCGAGGCCGAGGCACCGGCTGCTTCAGCACTTCCGGGTCGGCGGAGAGAGCGCTGCGTGACGTTGCCGGAGCGTTCGGGAGCCTCGCGCCTGTTATTGTTCCTGCTTCCCTCGCTCTCTCCCCCACCCCCGCCCGCCTTCCCACCGGCCCTCCGTCCGCTCCGCGAGCCGCCTGGAACCGCGCGCTCCTCGGGACGCTCTGAAGGCACCTCCAAAGGCCCGGCCGGGGAAAGAAGGGGAGGCGAGGCGCCCAGGCGCACGCGGAAGGCCGGCGTGGGAGGCTCGCTGAGGCAAGCTGTCAGAAGCCCGAGGGCGGTTGGAAGGAGCTGGAGGAGGGGGGCCCGCTGCCAACGGTTTCGAACCTTCCGTTGCGCGAGCCCTGACAGCGAGGGGCGGGGGGAGTGCGCGCCGCGTCACCAAGCAGCGAGCAGCCCTAGCAGGAGGCGCAGGAAGGCGGCGGCGGCGGCGGCGGCGGCGACTGGAAGGACATGGCCTACGCGTATCTCTTCAAGTACATCATAATCGGGGACACAGGTAAGGGCGGCCCACCGGGGAAGGTTTAAAAGGGGCCTGCGCTGCTGGCGGCCTCGGCGCTTCCTGCGCAACGCCTCTCGGCTGCCCCATTTCCGCAGTGTTGGCTGCGCCGACGTGGTGGTGACTGGGCTCGGCAGGGGGAGGTGCTCGGCCCAGGGCCCCGCCCGCGGCCTGGCGAGGCCTAGGGCTCGGCTGCCAGCGCCTCCAGAACCCCCTCGCTGCCGTCTGGTTTCAAGGCCTCTCCACCCAGAGAGTTCCCGGGAAGGGAGCGGGGCGGCGGTGGAGGCCCTGAAATGGGTGCAGCCGGGGCCTCGGGACAGTGGGCGGGTGCTTGTCGTTGACCTCATTTCGGACGCGTCCGAAGAGCCCCGTTGGCCACGCCGGACGCTTCGGTGAGGCAATAGGGGAGTGGTGATAACACCCCCCTCCGGGGGGGGGACTTGACAAGGCCTCGAGACGCGCTGGGCCTTCGGCCAAGACTTCTCACTCCAGGCCTGTCAGACACGCCTGCGGAGCAAGGCCCTAAAGGATCACACCATTTAATCCCTCTCTGCCCAAAGATACACTGACCTGTAACTAAAGCACCCTCCCCACCTCTGGATATGTTTTACGTTCCAAGAAAATCTACCAGATAAAAGTGGCTTCCACCGTTCATTGGTCGTGGTTCTGTTTCTGGACATGTGTTTAAAGTATTTGCTGCCACTCCTTAGCCGAAAAAGCTTATAAAGTGACAGTAATAAGCCTTCTCCACCCCTCCGGTATAGAATGTAAAAGACAAGACAGAAAAGGGGGGAAACTGGCAGAAAAAGAAGGGATCAAACTGGGGACTTAAGTGACAGAATTCTTGTAATGGCCAGCTGGAAGGAAGAGTTCAAGGAGAGGAGGAGCCAAAAGTTGGTGGTGTTGCAGCTGAGCCTTATGGAGAGGCCCTTTAGTGCCATCTCTCTGACTTGAACATGATGGAATTTAGCATGATAGATGCAGTATAGTGACCTAAGAGACTGAGCTACCAATAAAAAAGGATCTTGTATGCATATCATCTCTGCATAAATTCAGTAGGTGGCCTTAGACAAGCTGCTCTTTGCTCCATTCCCCCCATCAGCAGCACAGGATATAATGATACTGATTTCCTTTGCAATTGAAGGATCACAACTAGACAATGCATGTGATGTAGTTTGAATACTAGAAAGTGCTATGCAACAGCCATGTTAGAATAAATACTTGGGGTTCTTGTTTCCCCAAGTGAATTAAGCTTAAACGTCACACATGGTGTTGAATAATCTAATACACTTTCATGCCTATCAGCCACTATTTGAAAACAACCTTTTTAGATTGCAGTGATTATTTTTTCATTTTAGCTATTTATTTATGAAAATAGTTGAGTTGGGAAAAGTGAATGTGTGTGAGAGAGATTTCTGTCAAACTTATCCAAAGGCTAGAAATCCTTTCTCTGAGGGACCAATTCAATACGTTATATAATACACATATGTGCAAAACATTCACAAAGAGGTATATCAACATTTTCTCCTTGCATGTATCAAACAGGTACATAAGGAACTAGAATTGGCTGAAGCTTCTGCCATGAGTATATGTAGCTGAAAGTACATGTTAGCCCTCATATAATGTGAGGAGTGATGCTGAAAGTTTCTTGACAAGTATATGATTGGACAAACATATTCCTTTACAGTGGTACCTCGGATTACAGACGCTTCAGGTTACAGATGCTTCAGGTTACAGACTCCTCTAACCCAGAAATAGTACCTTGGGTTAAGAACTTTGCTTCGGGCTGAGAACAGAAATCACGCAGCGGCGCAGTGGCAGCAGGAGGCCCCATTAGCTAAAGTCGTGCTTCAGGTTAAGAACAGTTTCAGGTTAAGAACGGACCTCCGGAATGAATTAAGTTCTTAACCCGAGGTACCACTGTATTATAAAGTTAGTAGCTTTCTCTTGAATGCTTATTCCCTTTCCTCTTCCTCTTATCTTTAGGGGGGAAACCCTAAAATACAAAGGTATCTGTATTTCATTTACTTCTTCTGTCTATCCTCATTGAGATTTTAGCTTATTTATTCAAGATTCCTCAGCTCTAGAATACATAATAGGTTATATTTCAATCACTTTTTCCTCTTTTAAAATGCATTTAAAAAATTTTTAAAAAGACTGTGGCACAAACATATTTACAGTCTGATTCTATAAAAGTTCATTTGAGGTAGGTACCACCGATTCAATTTCTAATTGCTGTATTATGCAGTCTGGAAGTACTCAGTCAGCAAAGTAATATAATGTTGTACTCCTAGGCACACTTCTGTTCATACTGGAACTTACTCGATCAGACTGCATTTGCACTTCTATTGATTCTTTAGGTCTTGTGATATTTCATTTTAAAACAAACCAAGATTGGCCAACTTTCATTACTTAAAGCATAGAACTTGTATGTATGGTTACTAGGAAAGAGGTTCTATTAAGCCACATTTCTAAACAGTCTTTGTTTGGTTGCCTGTGGTGAGATGAAATAGTCATTTGGTGACCAGGCAGTGAAACTTTTATAAATTTGAAATATGCCCTCTCATTTTCAGGCAGTTTATATTTCACAAATGAACAACATAGAGATGTGTTGATTGGCAGGCTAGTAAACATGTGGCTTGTTTACAAGGCTGCATTAAATTCAGTCTAGCTTGCTTCCAGGTAAGCATGTGTAGGATTGAGCTATGTAATCAATCTCTTCATATATTCAGTATTTGATTTCAACATTGCAAGCAGAATCCAGGAGATTCTACAAGTAAATTAAAAATTATTTTAGCTAGGCATGTTGAGTGCTGTAGTCAATGTATTTTCAGAGCTCTTTCTATAATCTGAGAATTATTGGAGAACAGGTGAGGTCTCTGCAGACTGGAAACGAGCAAATGTTGTCCCCATATTCAAAAAGGGGAGAAAAGAAAACCTAGGTGAGCTTACATTGATACCAGGAAAGGTCCTAGAAAAGATAATTAAACAGTCAGTCTGTGAGCACTTAAAAAAGGATGCTGTGATTATTAAGTCCCAGTATGGCCTTCTCAAAAATAAGTCATGCCAGGCAAATCTCATTTCTTTTTTTTGATAGAGTTACAAGCTTGTGGATAAGGGAAATGCTGTGGGTATGGTGTGTCTTGATTTCAGCAAGGTTTTTGACAAAGTCCCCCATGATATTCTTGCAGAAAACCTGGTAAAATGCGGGCTGGATGAGGTATCTGTTAGGTGGATTTATAGCTGATTGACTGAACCCAAAGTGTGCTCACTAAGGGTGCTGCAGCACTCTGTCCTGTGCCCACTGTTGTTCAATGTCTTTATAAACAACTTGGATGAAAGAATTGAGGAGATGCTCATCAAATTTGCAGATGACACTAAACTTGGAGGGGTAGCTAATGCTTCAGAAGAAAGAACTGGGATTCAAAATGACCTTAACAGATTGGAGAACTGGGCCCAAACTAGCAAAATGAATTTAACTAGGGACAAATATAAGGTTCTGTGCTTAGGCAGGAAGAACCAGATGCACAGATATAAGATGAGGGACACCTGGCTTATTAGCAGTACATATGAAAAGGATTTGGGGGTCTTAGCGGACCACAAGCTTAACATGAGTCAACAGTGTGATGCAGCAGCAAAAAAAGCCGCAGAATTATAGTGTCCAGGTCAAGGAAAGTAATAGTACCACTCTATTATGCCTTCATCAAACCACACCTGGAATACTGTGTCGAGTTCTGGGTGTCACAATTTAAGAAGGATATTGACAAGCTGGAATGTGTGCAGAGGAGGATGCCCAAGATGATCAAGGGTCTGGAAACCAAGCTTTATGCGAAACGGTTGCGGGAGTTGGGTATGTTTAGCCTGGGAAAGAGACTGAAAGGAGATATGATAGCCTCCTCAAATATCTTAAGGGCTGTCACATGGAAGATGAAGCAAGTTTGTTCTGCTCCGGAGGGTAGGACCTGTATCAATGGATTCAAGTTACAAGAAAGGAGATTCTAACTAAGCATCAGGAAGAACTGTCTGATAATAAAACTATTTGACAGTGTAACAAACTCCCAAGAGAGGTTGTGGATTCTCCTACATTGGAGCTTTCTAGTAACTAGCAACTAGAATCACCCCAGGTCCAGATAGTGGCCCACATCTCTTAATTTGCAGGCCAGTGTTGATTTGCATTGCTTTGCCATTTAAAGCAAAAAACTTAGCCATATTTGATTCAATGCTGATTAAATTTCCTCTTAACAAATTTCGTGCTTTTTTCAAGATTCACAGTGTTTTAACTTTTCATTACTTTATCTTTGCTCTTTATCTTTACTTCAACCTGTTGCCCTCCACATCACTCCAAACTCCCATCAGTTCCAGCCAGCATGACCAATGGTCAGGACTTATGGAAATAATAGTCCATCAACAAAAGTTAGCTACCCCTGTTCTTTGTGTTGCTTTTTGGAAGGAGTTCTTATCTCCTTGCATTTATCTTTCTCTTGGTCAGTCTGAACCCTAAGGAAAGGAGTGAAGTAAACTTAGCTGTTTGTATTTGACAAGCTGTAGATGCTTTGAGTGAAAGTAGACTGAAAGCTGCCTTTGAATAGAGATTTTTGGACATTTATGCAAGATTGCAGAAGTGCTGTTTAATGCTCAGGCATCATTTGTTCACATTTACTTGTTCTTGAGCCTTTGCAGTAAAAACAAAATATGGCACCAGTTCAGATTGGTGAGTGTTGAGGAGATACAGATACTGTGCTGCAAAGTCCTGCAATTTTATTTTGTTTTGTTTTTAAGTAGGTGCTTAGTCATAATCAATGTATTGGTCAACAATGAAATGCTCTTAAGCAATTGTGATTGTGGCTTTTCTGTTTATTCCCTTGTATTCCTTTTTGAAATTACATCAAGGTAAAATAAAAAAAGTACTTGGAAGCAGTGGCAGAGGAAGAGGAGTGCAGGGGGAGCGCACCGCCTCCAGCAGCGCGATCCCGGTGGGGTGCCATAGTGGCTTTCCCCCCACTCCCTCAGGGAGTGCCACTCCCCAGCGCGCCACTCCCCCTGGAAGTGCACCAGCCCCGCCCCTGCCTGCTCTCCATCCCCCATTCCAGAGCATGAAGCTTAGCCACTGGTCAAAAGAGGTTTTCCCACAACAAAAAATAGTTTTACATTTTATGTGTGTATTGGTAGACTGTTGTTGTTATAATAAGTTGTTGTTGTTGTTGTTGTTACTACAGTTTAATAATTTCTTCAATTTCACAATTCTAAATTGTATCCACAAGAATTACTAGTCTGCAGAAATTTTTTACAAGCTGACTGGTGGCTGGCAGGTAAAGGCTAGAGCAACAAGTACATTTCAGTGCTTGGTGTGGAGGGTTTCTTTGCTGAATGCACAGAAGTGATGTGTTCTGCCTCTCCCCAGCAGCCTGCTTACTTACATGCGTGCATATATATATTGCTGCCAGTAGTTGCCACGCAAATGTTGAAATGCCAAGCCGATTTATTTGCCAAATTTCTTTCCACCTAAAGAAAAATGGATGTCAGTCCCTCCATCTTTTATCTACTCAAACCTCTACTGTTGTTTAAAACCATGGTTTTCCTCTCATTGTCTGTCCACCCTCACTTTACTCAGACTTCTGCCTCTCCTTGAGTACTGCAAGAAAGGAGAAATACTGAGGGGGGTGTGTGTTGTTTTAAACTTCTTCCATTCCTCAGCTGCCTCATGGAAGAGAGAGAAAGAATGTAGAGTCTTTAAATATTCCATAGTACCTTCCTATAGTATATTTTACTCCTAGTACCATGTGTTGTCTTCAGCATGAAATTCTAGATTCACTGTAGTAATTTAGATCAGATATTTTATTAACAAGCAAACATCCCGATATGTACAACAGCCATCGACTGAACTTAACATTCTCTAGCTGAATAAGCTAACTGACAACCTTGCTCTTAAGACTCTATTTATCTTAAAGATACAGCAACATATATTAGTATGGGGCAGGGGTCAGTAAACTTTTTCAGCAGGGGGCCACTCCACTGTCCCTCAGACCTTATGGTGGGCCGGACTATATTTTGGAAAAAATATATGAATGAATTCCTATGCCGCACAAAAATAACCCAGAGATGCATTTTAAATAAAAGGACACATTCTACTCATGTTAAAACACTCTGATTCCTGGACCAACCGTCCACGGGCCGGATTTAGAAGGCGATTGGGCTGGATCCGGCCCCTGGTCCTTAGTTTGCCTACCCATGCTATGGAGTATGTTTGCAGAGGGGACTCCAGAGTAGAGAGGACTAGGCATGGAAATGGGGGTGGTGATCTGTATGCAAGGGAGAGTTGAGAACAGTAAGAAGGGTGGAAGAAAAAGTAGTGAAGGTGAAAATGGGAGTGCAAGGGGAGTTACAACAAACGAGGGAGTAGGAGGCATGGGAATAGGGTTGAAGATGAAAGCAGGGGCATGAAAGAGTCTGAATAATAGGAGAGTGTGATAACTTTGTAACTGAACAAAAGGTGAAAAGGGTGGTTAGTATTGTGTGGGAAGCAGAACATGCAGGAAGTTACCATGGACATGGGGGGTGACTGTCAAAATGGGTGCAAAGTGGAGCTGCAGAATAGAATATAGAAATGACTTCAGAAATTGTGTGTAAATCGAATTGTTATTCAATCCTTAACCAGCCTACAATTTTACTCAGATTCAGAAGATCAACATAATCATCCTATCAATGGAGATATCCTCCCAGTCTTCCAAGAGCAAAGAGCTGTGATAATTACCAGATGCATCTCCCTTTGAGAAGTCACACCCTGCCTCAGTTCTGGGAATAGATTGACTGCTGCTCAAGTCAATTTTCTCACAGCAGTGCTTCTTAGAGGAATTTTAAGAGGGTCTGTCATGTCTCTGGTACCCTCCTCTTCCATCAAGCTGGAAAATTCCATATTTAACCATGCCTCAATTCCAAACTGCACCAAAGTCAACTTTCCCCCCTCCTTTAATAACTTGGAGTGTTTACTAGCCTACATTGCAGGAGATCCATTGAAGCAGGTAACATGTTTCAGTGGCTTTTGGATGAATTGTGTAAAGAAGCTGGTTATATGCAGGTCATGGAATTCTTAATTAAGGCTTATGTATAAAACCATATTTATTATCTATTACTGTATAACATAGGATTGGGCTGTGCATGCATATTGGCTTCATACCACTTGATCTTAAAACTGAGAATGTCTGAATTCTTGATAGGAAAGTTCTACATCTGGGTTTTTTTTTTAATCTTTGAGGTTTAACTCATGCAAGTTGCCATTTTATGTTATTGTTGACAGGTGTTTCACATGCACATGCAAACCAACCCTTTCATGTACAAATATATGAAGTCCAAAAGTTTCCTTGTGAAAGTGGCATGTGGTAGGTCCTTGCAGGAATTAAATACATTTTAGCTGGAAATTTGATTGTTATGCACAAACTGCCTGTTCCTGACAAAAAGTTATAGCTGTTTGGCCCATTGCTAGCATAGTTTCTATGCTAGAGCTTGGGCATTCATGATTCCTACATATCATAGTTTCTTAGATTTGTCATTGCTTAGGTTTATCTGTCTTGGACTGAGAAAGCACTTCTTTCACTTCTACTGAGGGCTATTTGAATCACAGTCCTGGTTTGAAGTTCTCTCAGCAACACCTGAGCTATGTGCTATTTATCTTGTGAACCACCCTGAGATCTTTGGATGAAGGCCATTGTAATGCTTCTAGGGGTTGCTCGTGCGTAAGCCGGTGCAAACACCTGGCTGTGTTGCCTGAGTGAACCTTTTCTGTCCGGACAGCCACTCACCCGTGGTTGTTTCAATCGCTGGCAGAATCCGTCAGTGGGCGTTTCTTAAACTTCTTCCAGCAAAGAAGCTCTTTGATGCCTAGTCTCCTCCTACTCTCTCTGCGCGAAAGTCTTCTGCGCAAGGAGGGCGTAGGCAGCGGAGGACCCCTACTCTCCCCGCTGGTCCCGGCAAGGAGTCATGGGATCGCCTCGCCGCTTCCCCCATCTGCCCCCCTTCTCCACTGGTGCTATGCTGATTCTCTTCCCCAGAAGATGGGCTACCTCTCCCAATCCCGGGACGCTCTCTGGAATTCCTCTGGATTTTGCTCTCTCCTTCCGGCACTGATGGCAGTTCCCTGACAGCCATATATAATAATAATAAAATGTTGCAAGAGGTAAAACCACAAAAGTCTTGTGAAAACAAGTGTCCTACCTTGCATCATATTCTGATGTAAAATACCTGTTTTACTTACATTTAAAACTATCAAGAGTGGCAAGAAATTATATCTTAAGTTTTTCTGGCTAGAAAGGAATTGAGAATAAATAAAATATAAGGAAGAAAAGCCTGTAAGAAGAGAGGATTTGTAATTTCTTATTTAGAATAGTAACATGAAGCAGGTATTTTGACACGGGTAGTGCAGTGAATGATGAAAGAGTGTACCTTGTACTTCACTAATATTACACATAATAGAAGATGAGTGGTCCACTTATGCTTCTCTCATGCCAAATTTTAAGGTCACCTATATAACTAAAAAAATTAGAGAAAATAAGAACTTGGGAACAGATGAGGGAACAAATGATAGCACCACCTTTAAATACATACAAATGAAAAGTATTCTAAGTGGACTGAGACAAAAACAGGAAGCGAGAACCGTAAAACAATTTGAAAGGTTAACAAGGAATGGCACAGTTAAATGGTTTTCAGCTTTATGTCAAGTGTTAATGCACGAACATTCAGAGACAAAACTTAATCATATGATGAAATGGGAAAGAGAATTGCAAACGGAAATTTAGGAGAAAGTATGGAAATGCCTATTTGGAGTAGGAACCAAATTCATGTCATCCATGAATTATAGAGAAAATTGCATGAAAAGCGTGGTGCAATGGCTTTGGATCCCTTGGAAAAGCAGAATGATTTCATACATATGATGGAAATGATATTGGTTATAAAATGACATAATTTGTCATTAGGCTTTGCAAATAGTCCACTATTATGTTCCTTGAATTACATCAATGATTCAAGAACACCAAAGAGTGAGTGTATCCAAATGTTGTGCATTTTAATAGTAACCAGGGTTATGTATACACAAGTGTAGAAGGATAGTCCAAAACCATGAAAGAAAGAATCTGTCAGAAATATTTGGGGAACCAAAAACAAACCCCTGTGTTGCAATAAGAACCAATCACAACAATACAAACACAACATGTAGGCTAATAGTAAAAAATATATAATAGAATAATAATATCATTCAAATTGTAGGAATAAGCCAGTCAAAGTTCATATGTACAGTATAATTTATCTACTTGCACTTTGATGTGCTTTCGAACTGCTAGGTTGGCAAGAGCAGGGACCAAGCAATGGGAGCTCACCGTCATGAGGATTCGAACCGTCGACTTCTGATCGGCAAGCCTTAGGCTCTGTGGTTTAACCCACAGCGCCACCCGCGTCCCTGAGTTGAAGTATAGTTGTGGAATAAAAAAAGAGGACTCGGGATAGAGGGAAGTGGAGCAAAAACAATAAAAAACAAATGTAACTTTTAAGCAATATTGAAGTACTTTTAAATAATGGTTATTTCCTTTTCAAGTATACAGTGCTTGATTTAACAGAATAGAAAAGTGTTTTATGAAAATAGAGTTGGTTTTCTAAGAGGTTTAAAATGTTTATACAGTGGTACCTCAGGTTAAGTACTTAATTCGTTCCGGAGGTCCGTTCTTAACCTGAAACTATTCTCAACCTGAAGCACCACTTTAGTTAATGGGGCCTCCTGCTGCTGCTGTGCCGCTGCTGCACAATTTCTGTTCTCATCATGAAGCAAAGTTCTTAATCTGAAGCACTATTTCTGGGTTAGCGGAGTCTGTAACCTGAAGCGTATGTAACCCGAGGTACCACTGTACACATTACATATATGTATATATTGTAATTGCATAGTCACATTAACAAAGTATGTATATTTTAAAAGAGCAGCAGAGTAACTATAGAGGCTATCTGAAACTAGCTACTAAGTGAGAGTCTTAAGTTTCTGAATAGTAAATGTACATAATGAATATGATTTTGGAGGAGGAGTGGGATTTAGTAATTTGGTTGCTATGGAGGAGCATGACAAGTTCCAAGGGACCTCACTGTTATCCTTTGTGTTTCTTTTGGTGGCCTCTGAAATGTTATGCTAACACCAAGGAGTAGTTTTATCAGTAATTTGTAAATGTGTGTAAAGAAGTCTGAAATTTTGAAATATTCTCACTTTTTGTAGTACTTTATATTTGGAAATTCTTGAAATTGATTTTTTTTCCTTCCAGGTGTTGGAAAATCATGTTTATTGTTGCAGTTCACAGACAAAAGGTTTCAGCCAGTGCACGACCTTACTATAGGTAAGTTCTTTTATGCAGGTAAAGGTCCTTGGCAACTGCATGCATCAAGTTCTGAAATGGAATGTCTAGAGCAGGGGTTGTCAACCTGGTCCCTTCCACCCTTTCAGGATTCCAGGTGGGCGGTAGGGGGGGTTCTATGGCACAAGATGAATCCTCCTTCCATCGAGCACTGGTGGGCGGTAAGGAAATTTTACCATTAAGAAAGATGCATTAGTGGGTGGTAGGTTTAAAAATATTGACTACCCCTGGCCTAGACTTTCAACTAATAGTCATATATTTACAAGGTTATCGTGGCATGGGTCAGTGGTGCTTAGTCTGATAATAAATAAATCAGGTTCATACTGGACAAAATGACATCCAACTATCTGCTGATAAAAGTTACTGTGGCTGAATTTGTAAAGAGTGTGTTTTCCATACAAAATGGTTTCAGCTTAACAATGTCAGAATTGTCAATTTCTAAAATATTCTTATCTGAATATGAAATATCATGTTAAGATTTTGTTAAGTCTAAGTTGTAACTCTCTTCTAAGCCTAAATGATGGTTTCTTTGAAGGGATTTAAGTAGTTTGATTTGAGTCTGACTCAGTGAGATTTGAAACTTTCTCACATTCTGCAGCTGCTTGTGACTGTCTCTGAATATTTTCAAACTACATTGCAGTGTCATAATTTTAAAAAGCATTTTCTTTCTTTATTGTTATTGCAGTTTATATCCCACCTTTTCTCTGGAGAACTCAAGGTGGCATACATGGTTCTCTGCCCCTCCCCCTTATATCTTCACAGAATCCTTGTAAGGCAGGTTAGGCTGTGAGACTGTAACTGGCCTGAGGTCACCCAGTAATCTTCATGGCTGAGTGGGGATTTGAACCCTGGTCTTTCAGGTTCTAGTCCAAAATTCTAACTATTGCACCACACTGGCTATGCTAAATGCTTCCTTTGTAGGTTTTTAGATTGTTCTTATTTTTTCTAACTCTGTTGAAAGACTTTTTTTTTTCATCTGTTAATCTAGAAATGAGTGTATAAAACTATGACACAATACAAAACTGTATAAAAGTCTGTTAACTCTTCAGTATGTGCTATAGGGGGAAAGCCAACTGAAAGCATGAAGAACAATGTTGCTTCCTGCTATGAAAAAGGTTGAAGTAAATCCTGATTTCGTTTAGGATACTGGATAGTATTTCATTGCTGTGTTGGAGCTCTGTTACAACATTTTATTTTATTATTCAGGTGTAGAATTTGGTGCTCGAATGATAACCATTGATGGGAAACAGATAAAACTTCAGATATGGGATACGGTAAGTGTAGGAAAATTTTCTGTGCAAATTTTCTTTAAAACTGTGGTTCAAAGAACAGGAGCGAGGAACTGAAACTCTGAAAAAAGCACCAGTCAACTGTTGTAAAACGAAAACAAAAAGAAACACTCAAAAATGGTGTAAACTGAAAAAATGGTGTGAACTATCTCCCAAAAAAGGCAAACTCTAGACCGTGTGTGAGTGTGAGTGTGTGTGTTTGTGTTCCATGATCCAAAGTAATAGTAGCTGCTGCAAGCATTATTAATTCCTGTCTATCCTGGATCAACAATCTCTCTGTATATGGATATAGGGTTTGTTCTAACTCCCTTGAGCTATTGAGAAGATTTCTGCTAACCTGTCTGTGAAAAAGCAATCTTAACTATTGTTTACGTATTCTGGGATAAAGGACCAGTGAGGAGAGCTTCAATTTTTCTTCTCTTTCGATACACTTCAAGCTCTAAACCCAGTAAGCATATGTATGAATCAGCTTGATATAATCTGAGGGGTAAAGGCAAAGGTAAAGGACCCCTGACAGTTAAGTCCAGTCACGAATGACTGGGGTTGCGGCGCTCATCTTGCTTTACTGGCCGAGGGAGCTGACGTTTGTCCGCAGACAGTTTTTCCAAGTCATGTGGCCAGCGTGACTAAGCCGCTTCTGGCGAAACCAGAGCAGCACAGGGAAACGCTGTTTACCTTCCCGCCGGAGTGGTACCTATTTATCTACTTGCACTGCATCCTTTCGAACTGCTAGGTTAGCAGGAGCTGGGAGCAAACAGTGGGAGCTCACCCCATTGCAGGGATTCAGATTGCTGACCTTCCGATCGGCAAGCCCTAGGCTCAGTGGTTTAGACCACAGCGCCACCCGCGTCCCTAATTTCAGGGGTAGTTATTCATTAGGTCACTGGCTTGTGTAGGGGAGAGGGTGCAAGTTAGTAGCTATGGTGTGGAATGCAGCCCTAAATGTCATTTAATTTTATTGCCTCATTTATTCAACTGTAAAACAGGCTTGTCGTTCACTCACCAGTTTTTTAAAGTACCAAATTTTGAATTCTTGCTACACTGTGGTATCTTAGTAATATTATGAGATGTTTCTTAAGCTGGAACGTGCTCATTTATTGAGAGTATTGTGTCTTTATAATAAAGAAATATTAAGGCAAAAGTTTAGTGTGTATTGGTTTCATAGGAACTATACAAGTGGAACATGTACCAAAATGTTTAGGTGCATCGCCACCCTGCAGGAGTGTTCTTGTGCAGGGATCCAGTTAGCAGACATCCTAACCTGCTCTCAGCTGTAGTCTAAATTTATTTATAAAAACAGTTATACCACCCACGTACATAAAATATCACAGAAGTGTACAACAGTGTATACACATACTATAGAACATAAAATACAAAATGTCATAAAAATGACTGACTTCAAATAAATAAATAAATAAATAAATAAATAAATAAATAAATAAGTTGGCATAAAAAGATCTTCAAGAGATTCCTAAAAATTAGTAGTGAGGTTGCCTGCAGAATCTGTGTTGGAAGGGTATTCCACAGCATGGAACTGGCAACACCAAATGCCCAACTTCTGTTAGAAGCCAGTAGTGAAGGTATGCAAGGCAACTAACAGTGCTCCTCAGGATGGTTGAAGTGGGATATAAGGACTCAAGCGATCCTTGAGGTATTCTGGATCCAAGTCATTGAGGGCTTTCCTCCCAGCTTTTCTGGGTTACTCCTCCCCATTTTTGCCAAGCCTGCACATCTCTCAGCCCAGTAGTATATGGGCAGCCAGTGCTGATGTTATAGCAGAGGTGCCATGTGCTATCAGTCATCTGCCCCCATCAGCAATCTGGCAACACAATTCTGCACAAGCTGGAACTTTTAGACCAGGGTAGTGGGCAGCCAACGTAAAGCACAGTGCCGTAGTCCAGTCCCAAGGTTACCCATTCTCATGGATTGCAGTGGCCAGGCTTTCCTGTTTCAAACACCTCTGTACCAGGCATACCAGATGAAACTGGTAAGAAGCACTGCTATCCGCAAAGGTCTCTTGGGCCTCTAATGGCAAAGATGTATCCAGAACTACCTCTAAGCTGCATACCTGCTGTTTCTGAAACGTGTGCATTCCTTCATTCCCCCATCCACCTCAGCAGGGAAGATGGGAAACTCAGTGCTTTGGACTTTACACCAAAAGCATAAGTAAAACAGTCTTCTTAAATATTTGGGATGGTCTGAAGCTACTCATAGCCCTCATGTGCCTTCAGTAATGTGTGTTCTTAACTGGTCCAGCCACTGGCTTCTGGGAATTACCTTTGCTGCTTAAAAGGGACTTCTGGGTTCTGATCATGCAGTCTCTCTTACAATGCTATACTAGGGCATAGTTCTTGCAAGTAGGATAGGGCACAATGAACCTGATTCTTGACTTTATCACTACAACTGCAGAGGGAGCTTACATGACTGAAAGTTTTCTCCATATGAAACAAGAATCCTCTTAAAATAGATAAATAAATGTTTGAGAGAAACATAGCCATCTTCCTGTCATGTCATTTTATCTATGTCAAGAGAATGAAATAGTTTTGTAACTAAGCCCTTGGGCTTGCCTTCCCGCCCCCAACATGGAACTGATGGTCAGCAGAGGAGGCTTAAGAGAGAGAAATAGTGTGTATGTGTATACACCTGCTTTTGTGTATATTCCTGTCCCAGGTATCTAAGGCAAACATGATCTTAAAGAATCCCACACAGGTCATCCATTGATCTTGAATGAGATGATACTTCAAAAGTTATATAGGTTGGCAGTTTTACCTCTGTGTATATTCGGCATGCATATAGGCTTAATACAGGGGCTTCATAAATCTCAGATTTTTGCTGACTGCCTGAATGTGGTCAGCTGCTAGGTCACACTTGGTAAAGATCTGGTGAAACTCTTGGTGCTTTCAAAGTCTTGAATACTCTAGAAATAAACTCCCTAAACATTGTATGGAATTATGCTACATCTGCTACATAGTGCATAGTTTTTAATACTTTATCTTTACTTTTTTTAACACAAATTCTTCATAGATGCTGTTAACAGTTTATAAATATTTTTCATTTATGCTGGCAAATTTAAAGACATAGTTATCTTTATGTGAGATAATTTTCATTTCCTTTTTTGCCATCACAAAAGACTATGGGTGGAATGCAACACCATGTGAAGGCGATTGTTCTGTCTGGCAAGCAAAAATGCTTGCACTGGTCGTAAAATCTTCCCCCCTTCTCTCCCATGTGCTGTTCTTGGAGTTCTCCTAGTTTGGGGAGGAGGTAGAAGAAGGAGGAGGTCCTTCTGACTTCCACTAGTGCAACAACTTGGTTGAATATATGTACTATATGTACTAATCACCTTAGTGTTAACGGGTAAACATTGTAGTTCCTGGAGAAAAAGTGGGAGGTGAAATCTTACAAGTATTGCAAGCGTTAGCTTTTGCCTAACATCTGTGGCAGGGTGAACTTTTCTTTTCTATGGTTGTTAATAACTACATAATTTAGTGATAGAATATAGCTATTCAGTGTTTGGGATTACTATGTCCAGTTCATAGTGACCAAGGCTTTTTAAAAAAAGGTTAAATATGTGACCCATACATATGTTTTGAAGCAGAAAGGAGGGCTATAGGATGACATCAGTGTAGCTCTATGACCAATCCCCTTTGAAAATCTAACATAAAATTTTAAACTTAGGATGTTCTGTTAGAATTCTTTTTAAAAATCCTTTTTATATGATATCTGATGTTTTTCATTTGTGGCAATCAAGGCACCTTCTTGCATGCTTTTGACAAGCACTCTGTCAGAAGCACAGGAAATTGATTAAATGTACAATAGAATTATATAAAATCAAATTCAAAACCATTATCTGTTTTTTATAATAAAATGCTAGTGGAAAGAATTCCATCTGAAGACTGTTGAAAGCTGGCTGCAGTTTATGATATAACGGATAAAATCTGCATCCTTGGCCTTCCTACAACCTTTACACCAGCAGATGGTGGGCGTAAAGATGTCATTCATCATTTATTTACAATGGGCTTTATTTATTCTAGTGTCAACAGCTGCCCCAGGGAGGGAGTTATTGAATTCAAATGTGAAGCACTGGGTTATTTGCTTCCTTTCAAATTTGTCTTCAGAGCTTAGTTGCTAGGAGTCCATTCTGTACTCTAATAATGATTCATGTATTGTGAAGCCATTCAGTAAATTGGGTTGTCAGGGATTGCCAAAAAAGGTTTAGAGGTCTTGTTCTTGAGTCCCCTCCCCAATAGTTCTGTGCTGTAGACTTTTTAATTCGTGGCTCCTCTTTTCCAGAATTAGTGAGGTTTTGTCCTTTCCCCCAATCCCTTACACAATAAACTTCTTAGTGTAAGTATGCAAGACTCTTACTTTCTTCACAAGGAAACACAGGAGACAAAATGAACTATGAATCTTGTATTTCTACAGGCTGGGCAGGAGTCCTTCCGTTCTATCACAAGGTCATACTACAGAGGGGCAGCAGGGGCCTTACTAGTGTATGACATTACAAGGTGAGAATCTTTCAGAATCTTCTAGACTTTTGTAACTAGCTTTTTTCTGTATGTTTTTTTTTAATCATTAACAGATTTCAATGTCTAAAACTGGTTTTCAACTAGTGGTGGAAGCAGAAGGGAACTAAAGTGACTTCCACTGCACATCAGTTGTCCAGTGTATAAGTCCTAGGTTAACAACTGGTAAAGTCATTAAATTTTCTGTTTATATATATTTTTAAACTTTTGCTTTGTTCATTATTTGTTTGTGCGTTGTTCCTCACTTGCGTTTTGGTCTCATTTTAGGAGGGACACTTTCAACCATTTGACAACATGGTTAGAAGATGCCCGTCAGCATTCCAATTCTAACATGGTCATTATGCTCATTGGAAATAAAAGGTATATATATATTTAAAAGCCTTTTGAAATTGTGTGGATTAACAGTTAATTAAAAACCTGCTCCATAACAAGTAGCATATTGAGTACATGACCTTTATTTTTTTTAAAAAAATAATTTTAACATTTTATTATCCTGGTTTGAGTCAGCTGAGTTGCCAAAAAACAAAGCAAAAAACAACGCCTGACATTTTTGAATTATTATTTTTTTAGTAATATATCCAATTCTAGATTTGAATGCCAATTAAAACAGGGGTACCCAACACAGTGTTTCTGGATGTTTTGGCATACATCAGCCTCAGCCAGCATGGCCTATGCTCAGGATGGTGGAAGTTGTAATCCACAACATCTATAGGGCTTCACATTAGCTATTCTTAGATTAAAAGACTGAAATGTTTATATTCCCTTTAACATTTAGCTAGCTTCATGTCTGAGCTGTCCTACAATGTGCTAGTTCTTTTTCAATCTAGACTCCTTTGCAGTTGATCTCAAGGTTACCACGGTGGAACTCTTAACTCCAGTTGGAGGCTTGTTGAATATCTTTGGTCGGCTTACTGCAATTCTTAATATAATCCTCTGGATGTTTTTTAAATGTCCTACTTCATAGTATTATCATCATTGATGAACAGATAATCTTTGTTGTCTGGAAAAATGTGTTGTACTCACAGAAGTACAACATTCAGTTGTTCAATCAATGCTGTATTATTAACATGCTGAGCTTTTTCAGATTCTGTCTAGCACTAGTAGTTCACACATAGTTTGGACCGAATGATTTAAAGATTGTCATTATGCTACCAATAACTCTTATGTTGGCAACAGTGTATTGGAGAAAGCAGATTTTCCAAGTTCAAGGAGAACAAAACTTTACCTAAAATGAAGATAAAATTTCGTTGGTGGTGATCGTAATTGTATTTCTTGCATTTTGCAAGTGTAGTTCCCCCCCCCCAAAAAAAAACCACAAATAGCTTACTAGGTGCTGCTAGGTGGCTTTCTATACCAAGACTGAGGAATCTTTTTAAGCCCAAGGCCTGTACTCCCTTATGGGTGGCCTTGCATAAGCCAGATGCCAGTAGTGGGTGGGGCAAGTTTAGGCAGAGCAACCGGTTTGACTTTTATATTTGTACAGTAGGCTACACCATAGTCATGCAAAAGCCAGAGTTTCTGCACGCAGTTCAGTGACAAGGCACAAGCACCCGAGGCAAATAGCCAGAAAGAAGTGTGGCCTGGGGCAAGTACCAAGGCCTGATAGAGAGGCCTGAAGGGCCACTTTTTAAAAGGTACTGTTATTTATTAATTGATATGCAATGGCTCTAGGGATTACTTATTCTGTTCTACACAGTAGTGCAGGTGTAGCACCAGTGAGAGGTGTAGCTTGATAGAGGGGCCTGGAAGTCCACATCCGATGTGCAGACTCACTCCACTTCTACACAATAGACCAATCTGTGTGGTGAGGTTTTTACATGCATCACTGTAGTTACATAGGAACTTCCTGTTGTTCAGAACTGTTACTGGGCTGCCATTATTATTATTATTAGTAGTAGTAGTAGTAGTAGTCGTCTACCACCCTTTATCCAAAGATCACAGGGCAGTTCACAACATAAAAATACAAAATGTGAACCCAAAATACATAATAAAAACAAGAAAAAGAATAGAAACCAACAACTCCCCTCCCACAATCCTACTCACTGAATTCAAAGGAACTCCTAGCTAAGTGTGTGTCATAGCTTTAAAATACGAATAATAATTAACGTGTCTGTTGTAACCATTCCTCATAGGGGAGGTTGCCCCCTGATTCTAAACCGAGAAAAAACATTTAGGCTAGTGGCCAGCACTACATCTTACATTGGCTAATTCCATAACTTAAATAAGTGTTGAGTGAAGAAACATTGCATCTTGTGTTAGGTTCCAACAGTGTCAAGGCCTGCAAGAGAGGGGCTGCTTGCTCTAAACACCACCTTACAAAGAGTGGTGCGCAAGACCAACTGTCTGGGGTGAGGTTTTGACAAACATCAATGTAGCCACATAGGAATTTGCAGTTATTCAGAACTGATCTTGGGCTGCTAATAATACATGTCCCGTATAACTTATGAAAAGAGATTTTGGAAATTTTGGAGGAAGGACTGAGTAAGAGTGACCAGCAGGCATTTGTATGTAAATGAAATGTTACTGTATTAATATCCATTCAAAATTTATATTTTCTGGTTATGAACTTAGATAGAAGCTGCTGTTAGAAAGCTATACCACAAAGTAGCATAAGGATGCATAAGCTGAGATATGTAGACAGGAATGTCCTGTTTCCCACAATCTGGCTAATGAGGTTCATGAAAATGGCAGCTGGGATCCTGTCTGAAAAGCTGCCGGGAGTCATTTTTCCATATTATGCTGTCAGTGTATTTTTTAGGAGATGCCTCTCTTGTTAGAAATCAACATTGATAGTTCTTTGTCGTGATGCTTTTGGAGTGACTGCATGTCTTCTTTGCAATCCTTCCCATTTTTCTCTCCTCAGCATTGGTTTTTAATCAGTAATAGTGAATAAATTTCTTTTTAGTCACTTAGAAGGTGATTAAGGTTCTATATTTGACTTCATCAAATGTAGTGTTGTCTGTGGTATACCTAGACAAATGGACCTACGGTAATTTTAAGTAAAGATACGTGCCTAGGTGAGTTAGCTTGTTCTTGTACAGGGAACAACTGATGTCTTGTTTTCTTAGTGATCTAGAGTCTAGAAGAGAAGTGAAAAAGGAAGAAGGTGAAGCATTTGCACGAGAGCATGGGCTTATCTTTATGGAGACGTCTGCCAAAACTGCTTCCAACGTAGAAGAGGTAATTTGGTGTAATTTATTTTATATTACATTATTACTTTCTGAGTATGATTTAGGTGGGAAGTTAGGGACACAGCTTTGAGATCAAAATGATGTCTCTGGATCCAATCAAATCTCCAGGATCCTGATCTGGTATGAGTCATTAACGAATGCCAAGGAGTAAGTTTTGTCTCTCTCCATCTTTTCTTCTGTTATTTTCATCATTCTAGGTAAATGTTTGAGATTTTGGAAAAAGAATGTGCATCACCAATTCATAATATTTTGTTAATTGAATATAAAATACAGGTGTCCTCCCACTTACGTGTGAATGACACACAGCTATAATGTAATAATATAATTATCAAAGGGTGTTTGGACAGGGGAGAAAAATAATTGACAAATTAATCAAGAAAAATAAAAGTGATTTGGAAAATTGGAAAGAATTATTTTCCATTCTCAGTACACATGCTTTTAAAATATACTTGAAATGGTCCTCTAGATCACTTTCCCAGAGGTCATGGAAGAAATGCTGGTGCTTGAATAATAAATGAGGCTGGGGGGTGGGGAGCAGGGAATCTGCTGGAGATAATGATGGCAGTCATGTTTCACACCGGAAGTTACTTTCAGAAGAAAGATACTAAATCAGGAGTGTCAGTTACAAATGGATGTGCAGAACCAGACTCTAGCCAGTGAACAGCTAATGGTCACATTCACAATTTTCATAATTTTACCTTACTTAGATGCCCAAATATAATTGTATTTAAACATTAGATTTTTCTGAAGCTTATTCCCCCCCCCCCTTTAAACTGAGTAATGTACCCATGTAATTGTTGCAAGTCCAGGGCAGACTGTAAGTTTCTTACAGAAACCTTGAGGCATGGAACCCCATGTTGGGCAAGAAGATGGCTTTCAGAGGGGTAGACTTGAACTTCTTGTCCCTCTAGTGGGACATATAAAGTTTAACTCAGTCACTTGAAAGCTGAGTTAATTGACCCCCATCTCTCCACCTTATTCCTCAGTTCTACATAGCTTTAATAACTGCAGTCCAGTGCACCTTCCTCTCTAGGAGTAAAAGGTAAAAGGACCCCTGACGGTTAGGTCCAGTTGCGGACGACTCTGGGGTTGCGTGCTCATCTTGCTTTACTGGCCAAGGGAGCCGGCGTACAGCTTCCGGGTCATGTGGCCAGCATGACTAAGCTGCTTTCTGGCAAACCAGAGCAGCGCACGGACACGCCATTTACCTTCCCGACAGAGAAGGTACTTGCACTTTGACGTCCTTTTGAACTGCTAGGTTGGCAGGAGCAGGGACCGAGCAACGGGAGCTCACCCCGTCACGGGATTCGAACTGCCGACCTTCTGATCGGCAAGCCCTAGGCTCTGTGGTTTAACCCACAGAGTGGGTGGAGTTTACTTGGTGGAGTTTACTTCTGAGTAAAAGTTGGGGTCCGCTAGATAAAAAGAATATGTGGTTTTCTTATCTTCACCTTTCCTTACATTAAACAAGTTTTTTGTATATAAACTAATCTGATGAAGGCAGGAGGCAGATGCTTCTGCTTTTATCAGTGAACAGCAATAATGTACAAATAAATGAACTACTGTGTATCAACAAATCTCATGTGAAAATGCTCGGGTAAAGCTGGGAAAGAAATGACCTAGCTGTAGTTTTTGTGTACAGTGGACGCTTGGGTTGCGGACATGATCCGTGTGCTATGCATGTTTGCAACCGGCAGTGGCGCGTCTGCGCACATGCGGGTTGTGATTCAGTACTTCTGCACATGCGCAAAGCGCGATTTAGCGCTTCTGCGCATGCGCGACTAGCGAAACCCGGAAGACGCAACCTGAAGCGTCTGTAACCCGATGTATGCCTGTACTCAGCCATGGCCCCATTTTGCCTTCCCCAAATGCTTGCTAAACATTCACACCAGATTCTGCATCCAACCCCATTTTCTAGTCTCGTTATACAGTTTAACACCTTCTGAATGAATAAAATTGACAATGTCATATGATTGTCCACCAGGGTGCCCATCCAGAATTCATGTTGCTAACAAGTGGTAGACTTCAATTTTATTCATTATCCTGTGATGTTAGGAGGATAACAGGTACAGTGGTACCTCGGAAGTTGAACGGAATCCGTTCCGAAGTTCGTTCGACTTCTAAAACATTCAGAAACCAAGGCGCAGCTTCTGATTGGCTGCAGGAAGCTCCTGCAGCCAATCGGAAGCTGCAGAAGCTGCACCAGTCGTTTGGGCTCCAAAAAACATTTGCAAACCGGAACACTCACTTCCGGGTTTGCAGCGTTCGGGAGCCAAAACGTTCAATTTGCAAGGTGTTCATGAACCAAGGTACGACTGTAATGGGAAATTCTCTGGGACACAAATAAAGTTGAATCTGACCTTAATGGTGGAAATGGTTTATGCTCCTGAGATTGGTTCTGCTTTGGTGCAAAACTTTTTTGGGAAGGCATAAACTTCTTGATGAATATTTCTTCTATAGTTCCACATTTTCTCCAGCTTCAATGTTTTAAGTCTTTCATGTTAGCCAAGGAACATGAGATTTATATCATCCCTTAGTAATGTGCTTGGATCATGTGATAGGTGAGGATTTTTTCCTAGTGCATTTTGTTCATTTTACTTAGGTGTTTGTTTGTTTTTTGCAATTTTATCTTGCTTGCCCCTCTACATATCACTGTGTTAGCACTCTTGCGCTCAAGTCCTACTCATGGGCTTCCTGTAAGTGCTTGGTTGGATGCTGAATTAGATGGGTCTTTGGCCTGATCCTGCTGCCACATGTGTGATTTCTTCCTTCCTACTCCAGTTTTCACTATTTTTTACTTTATATTCTGCACTAATGACTCCCCCCCCTCCATTTGCCTTCATCCCACATCTCTCCTTTCAGTCCTCACTCTATGGCCTGCAAGTTTTAGGGTCTCTTGCTCCTTTCCTTTCTGTTTTCTGAAAATATTGTATTGCAGTGGACCCTCGGGTTACATTACCTTCGGGTAACGTAACTCGGGTTGCAAACACTGCAAACCCAAAGTGTATTCTTCTGGGTTTCACCATGCGCAGAAGCGGCACCTCTGCTTGCGGACTTTTCGGGGTACGTACAGACCCCTGGAACGAATTACATTCGTATCCAGAGGGTCCACTGTACTTTCCACCACAGATCACGTCCTCTCACAATTTAAGTCATCATTTTTATTTCCTTCTGCCATCCTCCTTTCTGTTTTCACAGAATCTTCTCTAGTTTTTCCTTAGTCTTTTCCTTTTCCATAGAATTAGCTGTACTAGAAGTACTTAGCCCATCTGCAACTAAAATTATTGGTAGAGATTAGCCCAATAATAAAATTGTTGTTGTTGTTGTTGTTGTTTTGTTGTCATTATTATTATTATTTACTAAAGTGCTTATCTACCTTGTTCATCTTGTCTAGATTACCTTAACATTCTCTATTGGTTTTTCCTACTACAGTGGAACCTCGGTTTTCCAAAAATTTCAAAAACTGAGGATCAAAGGGCTGTCAGCAAATTCAATGGGAAAAAATGGAAAAACGTGCCTTGGAAGCTGCTTGACTTCAGAGACATGTTCGAAAATGGAAGCATTCACTTCTGGCTTTTTGGCAATTGGCTTTCGAAAAGTTTGGCAGCCGAAATGTTTGAAAACCGAGGTTCCACTGTACCACTTACCATCTGTCACTTGAGAGTACCTTGCTAAAATATGCTGCTGTTGTAATTTCTCCCTTGTTCGTAAATCTGGTTTCCTCTCAATTGCCATGAACTTCAGAGCCATAGTCCTCAGAAAGTTAATTCATTAGCTCTTCCTTAAGGGCACCGTTCATACTTCATGGTAAATTATAGTTAATAGTTCTTCCACTGGGGAGAAACAAACCAGACTCTCTGGCTTGGCATTATGTTTTGCTCAAGAAAACTGATTTATGAGAAGAACAAATTTGAACTATCATGGTTTGTTTCCTCCATGTATTAGTGAAGTAGTATGGTTTATTGTTTAGTGCAAATTGGTCCAAAGAAACCCTAGTACAATTGTCACAAATTCAGGGCACTTTTAAACTAGTAGGTAATATACAAAAATTAAGAAGTGTTTCTCAGTTTTTTAAAACTTGCAGACACAAGACATGCATCTACCAGCAACCAAAGTAAGCATACAGAATCTTACATGTAGCGCACTGCTGTGTGTTCAGCGTCTGTACATCAAGTCACAGATTAAACGTTGGCATTGTTGAAAGGACTATAACAGATTGTTTTTGGGCTCCCTCCTAAAAAGCTGTCAACTAGAGAAAGAGGGAAAGGAGCTTCTGTATTTGCTGCCTCAATATTATGCCTAGTAATAGTAGCTTTGGCTGCAACAAAAAATGGCTGCTGCATGGATGCACGCACCAGAAAATCTGGCCCACAGTTTGAGAACCACTAAATTTTAGTGTCAGGGAAGATTTCTAAAATATTTTAATAACAGTGCTTGAACATGCCAAGGGTTTGTGGTTTTGATAGCATGTGGCAATGCATAGCGTTTAGTCAAACAGAATGTGTATAAACAAGAATGGATTTCTGCTCACACAGCAGAACATATTCTTCCTCTCTTACCTGCAGCCCTTCTGTGCCTTCAAAATGTGCTCTGACAGGCCCCCAATCCACCAGAGCAGATTTGGGGAGCAATGAAGGGGAAACAGAAGAAAGGGAAGTCCCATTGCACAAACAAAAGGTTTTTTTTCATAACATTGGATTCCACCCACACCCTCAATTTCTGAGAAGCCTAAGCTCTGATGCATAATAATATTTAGTGAATTAGAAAAACAAACAAACTATATTATTAGAAATTTTCTAGTTTAATATTGAAAATCATTGACCATTGTAAATATAAATTAATATTGAAAACCACCAGGTGGCAGCATGTTACATGAAGAGAAAAGTCAGAATCTGATTATTTTAATGTTCTGTAAAGAGAAAGTATTTTTCTTTTTGTAGCAAAAGTCATGTTCATAAATTTTGAGTTTTATTAAATCAACCATTTATTTATAGGTGTTCTTGTTGTGCATACTAATATGCCAATAAATTTTGCAAGTTTGTTGACAAGCTGCAACCAACATATTGTCTATCTTTAAAAATGTGTCTTGTCTTGTCCCCATGTTAAACCTATAACATTTCCATAATTTGCATCTTCAGTCAGATTATGCGGTTATGGATTTATTTAAACTAAGACAGATTGGCATGCCGCTGAATCTTGACACCAAAAAAGAGGATAGAAATATGTGAATGTCATTAGGCTTTCTCAGTCCTACCAACTGATATCTTTTCAACCAGAGATAGAATCATAGAATTGTAGATTTGGAAGGGATCCCGAGGATCACCTAGTCCAACCCCTGGCATTGCTGGAATCTCAATTAAAGCATCCATGACAGATGGCCATCCAACCTCTGCTGAAAAACCTCCGATGAGGAAGGAGAGCCCACAACCTTCCGAGGGAGTTCATTCCACTGTCAAAACAGCTTTTACTGGGTCCTACCTTCCAGAGCAGGAGAAAACAAGCTGGTTCTCTCTTCCATATGGCAGCCCTTTAGATATTAAGATGGCTATCATATCTTCTCAGTCTCCTCTTTCCCAGGTTAAACATACCCAGCTCACTCAACCGTTCCTCATAAGGCTTGGTTTCCAGACCCTTGATAATCTTGGCTGCCCTCCTCTGCACATGTTCCAGCTGGTCAATATCCTTAAATTGTGGCACCCAGAACTGGACACACTAGCCAAAGAATCCTTTTTGTATAATTTTTAACCTCTTGCAAGCTGGAACTCATTCTGAGCTTTGGCCCACCTGACCTTCTCACTGCAACTGTTGGCTACTCGTTTATACTCCTCCTTTGGGATTTCCCTTCCATTTCTTATACATTCCCTTTTCCTCATCTCAGTTCCTCTGTAAGCTCCTTATACAGCCACACCGGTTTCTTTAGATGCCTCCCGTTTTTCTTTCTTGTTGTGCATTCAGATGTTGGAGTTAATAAATGCATGGCACATTCATAGTCTACCACTGACCTATTATCACCCTCATAGGATACTGGCATTATTTCGCCATTATAATGGATAATTGTCAGAAGCCATGAGTTTAGTTGGAGTGAAAGAGTAAGCATATTTTAACAGTTATACATTTACATAACATGAAATGGAGAAATTGAAAGCATTTTATCTAGTTTATAAAACTAAGAACAAACCTTGGTTTTTATTTGTGACCTGTTTGGGAAGTGCAAACTACAAACCACTACCTCTTGTTGGCATTTGTTTCATATTGGCTTACCATGACATGTAGTTTAGCCACTATCTGTGTAGACAGTCATAAAAGAGCATGGGAGCCTCCCACATATATGGGACTTCAATCATGACATTTTAGTTGCTGTATCATGACCTTTATTTGCCATCGGTACACTTCTTAATAGATGTCTAAATAATGCCATACTCCTCTTTGCATGTGCACATGATTTGGATTTAATGCCTGAATTTTTAAAAAAGTTTTTTAAGAATGAGCCATCAAGATGAACTAATATTTGCGAATTGAATTTTTAAAAAATTGTTTTATGAAAACAAAGCAGATTGCATAAGAGAGTACAGTTGTATGAAGTTCCAAAGTTATAAGTAGTTTTCAATTACTATGGCATATTATGCCCTTGCAGTAATTGGTGTTTTATCAGAAGCCAAAATACAATGTATTTCTTTTTTTTATATTGAAAACTTCCATTTCTGAAGAATGCAAATCAATTCAGAGTTGGCTGAAAGCCAATTTCTGAGCTCCAGTGCACGTTTGAAAAACCTACTCACTTCCTAAGTGCCTTGTGAATCTGCAATGATTAATTCTTCTCATTATTTTGCTGCAAATTCTCATGACCCTCTGTGATGATTCGATCACCCACTTAGAGTTTATGCATATTCATATCTTTCCACTCATGGCTGCAGTTGTTCAAGTCTCCTTCACTGGCTGTGGTATGTACTTGGTGCAGTAATTGAGCTGCAGTAGATTGATTACTCTAGGGAGCTGTAAGGCCTTTAAAGGTGAAAACATATCAGTCCTGTTAATTAGGAAACAAAGCTCTGGTGGCAAGTTCAGCAGTCAAATGCTTCCAGTGTAGAAATGAGGAAAGGTATGATTTGTTCCCCTCCATGAACTCTGTTTACTTTTTAATATTTGAATTAGATTTGTGGCCAGGCGTGGCAAGCTTGAGTAGATGATAGCTGCATTGTAGGGTTGTAAGGAGTCAAAAGAACTTGATGTGCGATATTGGCTAACTTTGCTACTGCCATTAAAATCTTACATAGTATATTGTCTTTCAAATTCTTCTCATAGTATTAAATGGGGAAACAAAGCCATTTTGTGCATTAAATAATAATTGGCTAATATGTTAGGCATGGTAATAATTTAAAGTCAATGTTTCCTGTAGACTTTTGGGAGCGGGAAACGTTTTCTACTTTAAGATGATACCTTTCCATCATATGTAAGGTTGTCATTTTTGTGAAAAATTTTGAAAACAGTGGGAGGGAAGTTTGGCTTCCTTGAGCTAAAATGCATCTATAGTAACACTGCTTTCTGTGTAAACAATATTAAAGCTAATTCAGTTTCAGAAGCCTAATGATAAAATGCAAGGAAGGAGAGCAGGGGGGTGAGATAAAAGTTCAGGGTGATAAGGATCAACAGGAACTTAGTTCTGTGGACATAGGCAGACATTGTGCTGTGAAGACACAGAAGTTACTCAATAGATGTTGTGATCAACACTCTTGCACTTATGTATCTTGTAGATATTGTTCATATACTTCCCTTTTTTTTTTTTTTACTATAGCTATATAAGCAACTTCACTAAAGACCCCTGAGTAAACTTAGCAGTCATGGAATAATGTGAGATTGTTTTGTGACTCAGGACCTGGTTAAGTAACAGGAAGCTGAGAGTAGAAATAAGTGAACAATGCTGCAAAGGATCAGATAGCCAATGGTACAAAAAATTGTCCGTGTGAGACTCTGCATAGCCACTTAGAATATAACATTATGGGCTAGATTCACAAGTAGTTTGCTTAAAAAGTTGCTAAGTTGCTATATAGTAAGGAGTGGGCACTTTCTAGAGAATGGGAAGAGGGAAAAAAGTTTTTCCCTCTTTATGAAACATCCCCATTTAGTGCAAAGAGGGGGCTCTGCTTAATCTTGTTGCATACATACACACAATCCTAATTCTTCCCCTTCCTGCAAGACTTTCCAGCAGGCATTGGAGAGCCCTTCATGTCATCTTCACTGGGAGATTCACGCACACCCTACCTTTACTGGGACAAGAATTCTGTGCTTTTATTGTGCTATATTTATGAAGTGCACATATCCATAATTTGGGTTTAAAGCCTCAAATTTTATTATTTATTTTTCAGGCGTTTATTAATACAGCAAAGGAAATCTATGAGAAAATACAGGAAGGCGTTTTTGACATTAATAATGAGGTAAGTTCTTCAAATGTTAGAATGATGTAAGAGACAAAATAACAATTCTCACATCTTGCACAAGCTCGTTACACACACTGAACGTATGCTGAGCTCCTTGTATACTCTGTTTTGGGGTAGATATAGTTAGAATTGTGGAGTATGAAGTATAAAATTCCTCTCTCCAACCAAGACTCAACTTTAGATCTTCCAAAGAAAAAGTATCCATCATTTGTATCCGTTTCTCCATATGATATCAGCAACTTTCAGAAACCATTTTCCCAGTAAAAATGAGTAGTCAAAAGGATAATTTGTCTGCCACATGTGAGTTGGGTACTGTCAGAGACAGAATAAATAGGAGACGCATGAATTTTTTACTATATTCAAGATTTTGCATGCCATCTTATGTGTAATTACATCAGAGTAAGGCCTCTTGAACTTGGGATTTGTTTCCAAGTCAGTAGCCATAAGACTGAGGTGTTAAATGGCTAGGTTCTATATACGTGGAATTTGTCATCTCTAGTTTTGCTCATTTTGAGAGATTTGAAAACCATATTTCAAATAGGTGTACATACCATCCATGTCTGCAGATTCTTTAGTTCATGGGTGTCATATTGATGCATGCTGAGATCTCCGTGGTATGTTCTTCAAAGTCTCATAATATACTTCCTTAATTGAAAATGACAGATTGTCATAGACTGGATGGTCAGAGCTAGTCTTTCATCTCTAGGTCACTGATTCATTAATTGGGAAGCTAGTGGCTGGAATCCAAACAACCACACACATCATTTCATACATCCTAGGGAGCTTTGAGCATATGTTTCTTGAAAACCAGACTGTGTGCTGCATTGCAAACTACTTTTGAAACTGAGGGAGATTTCAAAAGTAGTTAGTGGTTTTTCATGGGATCTGTTGCTAAAAGAATAAAAGTAAAACCCCATTAGGCACATCCAATCTTTGGAAATATCTAAAAACTATATTGGGATACAGCCCTTATTAGGTGTAGTACATTTTATTATGTTATTTCCTGTTTGCCTTTTATTTGGCAAATGGCTGTGATGAAATAGAATTCTAATATTTCAGACCTAGAGGATATTAACTGTCAGATGAGACCTTCCTCCGTTTTTACTTTCTGTTGAAACACATTGCTCAGTAAAATGCTTCATGTTACAAACTCACATCTCTGGCAAAGTTGTCATATGCACTTACTTTTAGAGAGGTCTCATCTGCTCAGCATCTTGGAGGTTCCAGTATGACCATGCAACGGTTCCTCCATTTACGAGACTGTAGAAAAGGGGCAACCGCTTTGCAGGGTTGTCTTCAGAGTTGTCATTCTTCTTTATTCTCAGTTCTTCTGAAGACTAAATACTGGGAAACTAATATGAGTTGGTTTTACTTTTCTTAAATTGTGCTTATTTTTCACAAAGTGACATCACCTTACTGGTTTTCTCTGATGAAGATTATCAGTCTCCGGTAGTGAATATTTAATTTGAATGTGGTCTTGTGTGTTGAGAAATTATTTTTATTATCTAATAGAAACTGTCTGAAAACCAGCATGTGCCCACAAGTCAAGGGAAAACTTATTTGAACAGGATAGTCAGCTCATAAAAGTGATGGAGTGAATTCACTTTGTTACAATGTCACCAAATCCATATTAGGGCAATTACCTCTTGAGACCAACCAAAATATCACAGAATAGTGTGCAAGTTTTCAGGTTCTCCAGAACTCTTCATCAGGCTAGATAGTAAACAGGGTGATGGGGTGGAGAGGAGCTTTTTTGGCTGGACAGCAGGTGCAGGCTCCATGTCTTCAATGACAACTATTTTCTTATGGGTCTAACGGCTATCTTTATATAAAGAAACCAAATAAATCTAACTGTTCAGTGTTATTTAAATTTAAAATTTGGCACATGCAATACTTTCTGAAAATGAAGCTTTCTTAGAGCAAACGTTTCATCTTCACAAGTTGTATTACTCATTTTGTATTAGTTCTGTCCAGCCTCCTCTGCATATGAGAGGGGTTTATCCATAACAGCACATATTATAACCTTCCCCTGTTCATGCTGAACATGTTTCTGCTGTGCCTTGAAGAGCCTGAAGAGCTGCAGGCCCCTGGATGTGTGTAAATGAAGTGTGGCAGGGTCTAGGATTATCAGGAATAGTGGTACGACTAGCACAAGACCAGCATGAGAAGGCAGGGTTACACTATATACTATGTGTCTCTCCTTATTTTCCCTAGTACCATTTGAACTATCTCATTCTCATCTGATAACTAAAGAACATATGGTTTAAAGTTAGCAGTGGATAGCATATATATTGGACAGTAATCATTGGCTCTGAAAAAGAATGCTTGTTGTATCTGTCGAGTTTCATATAGAATCTGACTGCTTTACTGTGCCTTATGGAGATTTGATTGCCGTATGCTGTCAAGAGCCAACAGTGCATGCTATTTACTTGGCTCAGTGCCAAGTCTGGCTCCTTGATTCCTCAAGAAGTTGCTACCAGCCCAGAGGGGGCAAAACCAATGAGCCATAGGGCATGCTTTTTATTAAAGAGGAGTCAAAGAGCGAAAAGAAACCACATCAGCTGCTGTCAATACTGAGCTAGTGCCAGAAACCCCAAGGCTACTACTGTTGCAGAACAACTGCCAAGCACTATAAATCTGAGATTTACTGTGACGCAAAGTTTCCTTAAGAGCTTAATTTCTGAAGCTACTGTATTACTTTTCTTAAAGTGCTGTATTTTTAGGTAAAATCCACTTGAGGGAGTGTGGGTTAGGATAGAAGTGTAAGTTTGATGAATGAAAGAACTACTCTGTGTGTGGTTCTTGGCAACTTGCCATGTCTTTGGGGATCATAGAAATTATTGATGACACAGAACACTTGTATGCCCTTAGTCTGTACAGCTGACTCAACATAGAAGGAAATGCAGTCAAAAGAAGAAAAGGGTTTGCTGTGTGAGACCAGAAGAAATCTGAACTTACTTCTTTTGGTGGGACCAAAGGTTTATTAGGCATATTAAGAATTTCTACTGTTATGAAACAGTTTGAAAACCTTTTGTGTATAGGTTTGGCCCATGCTATATACATTAGTACTGGCAAGGATAGACTATTGGATTCTGTTGTACAGAAATGGTGAAAAAATTAAATAATATATCCTATTCTTGATTTTTGTTTCCTTAATTGCTACCAGACATTGTTTTTAATAGGATTTCCCCCCTACAGCTTGTTTATCATGAAAAGGAGACAATAAGTTTAGATGTTCATAAATCAGAAGTAGATTAACTACTTTAAAATGCTGTAGCCTGTGGCAGTGTTCCAAAAATATTAATGTGCATTCAACTTTTATTATTTCAGGCAAATGGCATTAAGATCGGCCCTCAGCATGCTGCTACTAATGCAACACTTGCAGGCAATCAGGGAGGACAACAGGCTGGTGGAGGCTGCTGTTGAACCTATTTTTACTTCCTAGCTGCCTGAAGGGGCCTACTAACTTGTTTCACCCTCCCCCGCTCAATTTCAACTACGACATGAAATTATTGTAAGATGGCATCATGTTGCAGAAGACTTTATTCTTCAAATTCTTGTACAACTTTGAATAAATGGTTAATGTTCACTTAAAAGACAGGTTTTGGAGATTGTATTCATATCTATATTTCCATTTGATTTCTAAGTCAATTGATGTGATTATTTTTTGTTAAATGTTGTCTTGTGCCCTTGACTACGAACTGTATTAAACACTACAAAGTCATCTGAGTATTTTAATCAGTTTGTGTAGTTAGGTTGCCCAACTACAGTGGTTTCCTAATGTTTAATATTGTAGAACTGTCTTCAACTCTTGTCCATTTTCAAGGCTCTAAAGAAAAACAGAAGGACTCTTTTCTGTATTTATCATTTACTTTCTGTATATATAGTTTAATAACTTGCTTGGGTGTATTTGCCAAGCTATAATTCTTTAATGCATTTGCATAAATTCTATACATTTAGAGCTTGGAACTACAGAAGCATTATTAGGAATTTGCTTAGATGCTGAATTTTAAACCTTATTGACATTGTTAGCATGTTTGTCCTTTTGTCATTATCCTAGAGTCCAAAAAATGCTTTATGTATAGTATTAGAAGCTACATATGCCTATTTTAATGCCAAATGTTTGCTATTTGCTCACAACTTCCACAGCACCTCTTCAGAAATGGATTAGCTGTTTGCCTTAATTATGTAGGTTAAACATATTATAATGAATGAAAAATACAGGAAGCATTGAAACTCATAAAATGGCACATTATGAAGACTTCATATTTCTTAAAACGTTATTTGCCTCTTCATTTCTAGGTATATTTCCATCAAGGATAGTTTTTCAACTTAGATGTACAGTGGCTGTGTAAAGTTGATTTGGTTCTTTTTCTTTTTTGGTGACAACTTGTAATCTTAATATGGTAAGCATCTTGTCTATTGTGAAGGGGGTGTGACAATAAAACTGCCAGATTGAAAATCCTGATTAAGGCCAAACTTGGAAATGCTTTAGTGCTGTACTCCACATGATTTTTTTCCAATTTCCCCCATGCTTCTAATGAATTAGTATACATCACTGCAAAATAAACTCCTGTTTAATTATATATTTCAAGTAGAGAATATTAATGGCACTCTTTGACTATATGAGAGCATCTTTTCTTGACCCTAATCTGTATTGCTGGGTTTTCCAGGGTAAACTATTTATAGATATGTTCAAATGGAATACCACAATTCTTGCTCTTCCATATTTAGGTTGTCTTGGTGGGCATACTTTAGCTGAAGAACACATTTTGGAGTCCAGTTATTTGTTACAGCTGTATCTCATTCGTTCCTCTGAGTTCAGAGCAGCACTTGAGCTTCACAGCAATCATGAGGTGGATTAATCAGAGAGATGGTGACCAGTCCATACTTAGCAAGGAGCCAATAACTATTTGTTGACAGGTAAAACAAAGCTTATCCATTTGGTGCTTGTTGCTGAGAACTACTTCGTACATTTAAAAAATCACCCCCACCCCAAAAAACGTTATTTAACAAAGTGAAGGTTTGTAATTTTTTTTCAATTTTGAATCTACACATTTAAAGTGTATTTAAGGTCCATTTCTAAGCTAATCTTGTACAAGTGATTTTTCCTTACATAATAATACAACTGCACAAGAACTCACAAATGCATTTCTAGATTAATTGCAAGCATGTGTATAGTCTCAAAGACAGTGCACACAATCAATTTAGCATTTAGTTATTTTAAGCATTTTCTTCTCTTCAGCTGAAAAGGCACCCAGGGTGGCTTAAATGTGATCTGTTTATTCAAAATATTTGCATACCACCCATCATCCAACAGATTTGGGGCTGGTGAATGATTGTTTCTATCAATACTAAAATAAGCAATATTATCATTATTTATTAAATTTCTGTACTGCCCTTCATCAGAAGATCACAGGGTGTTTTACAATATAAAGATGCATACCATAGCGACAAACAATAACAGCCCCACACCGTTTTAAAAGCCATAGATCGTTTAATTAATCAAAGACCTGGGAGAAGAGGATAAATAAAATGACAGCATGGACAATAATATGAAGCAGAAGCTAAAAACATAACGTGGCAGGTTGAGGTACTGCACAAATTAAAATGCCTGGAAAAATAGAAATGTTTTAACCTTGTGCCAAGAAAAATACAGTGGTACCTCAGGTTACATACGCTTCAGGTTACAGACTCCGCTAACCCATAAATAGTACCTTGGGTTAAGAACTTTGCTTCAGGATGAGAACAGAAAACGTGCTCCGGAGGTGCGGCGGCAGCGGGAGGCCCCATTAGCTAAAGTGGTGCTTCAAGTTAAGAACAGTTTCAGGTTAAGAACGGACCTCCAGAATGAATTAAGTACTTAACCTGAGGTACCACTGTAGTGTAGGTACTAGGTTACCTTTTAAACTAGCATATTCCAGGCACCAATGTTGAAAAAACCCTCTTTGTTACATAACACACTTAAAGAAGGTACTTGGAAGACCTTCATTAGAAATTTTCAAAACATGGGTAGGCTTCTATGGAAGAGGCCTCATTCTGGTGTTTTTCAAGTTTAGTTCTACTAATTCAGATTGTGGCTAGAAGGGAAAAGCAGCTGGTGCAGTTCATTAAAGGCTAGTTTGATGTAAGCAAACCTAACTTAAAAGCCTGGACCTCTCCTGACAGGTTATTCATTGGGATGACCAGGTCTGTTTCAGTGCCAAAACCAGGCCTGTGTCCAGATAATTGGTTTCATTGAAAAGTGTCTGGTGTTGGATAGCCACAACCCTCTCTTACACTTACATCAACCACAAGAGACTGTTTAGACTCTGATTTGTTGCTTTAGAAAGCAGCTTCATTCACTCCAGAGCACTTCAGAGGCTACAAAAAAACCACCTTTCTGCATCCTCCATTTGCTCATGAGGAAATTAAAAAAATGGCTATAACTCCCCACCACCGTTTGAATGAAGTGTGTGGGATAATGAACATGCCAAATTCAGAGAAAATGCTCCAGTGTATGACTCCAAATTTTGATGAAAAAACTTTGGAAGAAACATTTTCTTATACACAGAAAAATACGGTACATATTCTACCTTGCTTGAGCTGGTTCATAGCCTACCTATTGCAGATTTGGTACTAAGCAGCTAATAGACTTTTGTACTTCAAACTATTGTTTCTCAACAGGTATTGTTAATTCTCCTGTCAAATCAATACATCAGATATATTAGAGGTGTTGCTTTAGCATTAGGAAACTTTGTAGGTGCTGAAAATATGGTTGGATGAAAGAACTTTGTTATGACAGTACATATGAGATCTGTCATACACATAGTTTGCCATTGCCACAGTAGGATAGTGATTACAAGCACCAAGTCAATCTGCTCCATATTACTGAATGGAACTTTAAAAAGCAATGTTTATATTTGCATAGAAGTGGGTACATCAGATCAAATGGCCACTAGAAAACTCCATGGCTGAAGCTTTGTAGGAAGAGACCCCAGCAGTGAGATACATTTTTCTTAGGTGTAAGTGTATTCCAGAGTTTCCATTTACATACAGTTTGTATGCATTTTATGACAGGGTTGGAAAATCTGTGGCCTTTCACTGTTGTTTGACTACAACCCCCATCATCCTTGACCATTTGTCATGCTGGCTGGCTGATGGAATTAGAATCCAACAACATGGAGGGCCATAAGTTCCCAGTCCCTGCCTTTAGACTAACTTTAGAGTTCAATGTAATGTAAAAGGTAAAGGTAAAGGGACCCCTGACCATTAGGTCCAGTTGTGACCGACTGGGGTTGCGGCGCTCATCTCGCTTTATTGGCTGAGGGAGCCGGCGTACAGCTTCCGGGTCATGTGGCCAGCATGACTAAGCCGCTTCTGGCGAACCAGAGCAGCGCACGGAAACGCCGTTTGCCTTCCTGCCAGAGCGGTACCTATTTATCTACTTGCATTTGACGTGCTTTCGAACTGCTAGGTTGGCAGGAGCAGGGACCGAGGAATGGGAGCTCACCCCGTCGTGGGGATTCGAACCGCTGACCTTCTGATCGGCAAGTCCTAGGCTCTGTGGTTTAACCCACAGCGCCACCCACGTCCCTTCAATGTAATGTACTCTTTCTAAATAACAGCAGAATCTAGTGCATGTCTACTCAATAATTTCCACTAATTTCAGTCAGGCTTACTCCCACGTAAGCAGGTTTAGAGTTGCAGTATAAGCATTTGTAGTTACATATTTTGTCATCTGTACTTGTTAAAATACCTTTATCTCCTATCTGCCTCAATATGAGACAAGCTATGCAGTTTTAAAACTACAAAATATTAAAACCGTACTACAAATATAGGGGAAGTATGTTTTTTGCAGCAAAAAGAATTATATAACTATTCTTACATACACAAAAATATAATTAAGTCCACATATTGGTGATTTCTCCCAAGAGGAGGCTTATATACATATGTTCTTGTACTGCTCCTTTTTCACTGGTCGAGGTGCAGAGTTTCTTTTCTAACTACATCGTAACTTTGTTAATAGTATACCATACTAATTTTGTTTTATTGTGCCACTGAAGTCTCAGTCTGTAAATAATCCATGTCGGTACTATGTAAGTAGCTGATGAAATGTCTTTACTAGGTTTGCTGCGCATGAAAGAAACCACATCATTTGGTAATAAAACTACTAACAGACTCTAACAAAGCCAAGACCATGACAAAAAGCAGCATGTTATGGATCTATCACTTCTATTCTTGGGACTGATTTTATTATTTTTGGACCTATTACAAGCCCTGTGTTAAATATTGTGGATGATAAGAGGAAACAGACTCTTGGCAAATGTGGAAAACCAATTACAGTATATTACCCTACTCAGGCTACAGTAAAGGAGGATCTGAGCCAGAGGCTTATTCCCTGCTTGCTTTAGCAGCTGAAAAGTTTTTCCTACTGTAGAATTGGCTTGAGTTAAAAGTGTGTTGCTATGAAAACCTCACTGTAGACAGTGCTGACTAGAGAGGGTGAAATTGACCCACTAAGTAGGGCTGTAGTTCTGTCAAGGGTTGTGTAATTAAATAAATCACCTTTTCTTATAGATAAGAATGCTCACTTTAGAAACTAAATGTGCCCTTGTATACAACATTCAAGGACCTCAGCCCTTCCTTGCATAGGTGATAAGGCTAATGAAGTTTTACATTAGATTTTTTTTTTTCAATAATCATAAATGCGTCTTGATTTTTTTTTTAAGCACTAAAACATTTCAAATGTTCTGTTTGGCATGACTGGCCTTGTAAACTTTGGTAGACAACTGCAATATTAGGAAGCTACTCACATCCCTTTTTCTCAACCTATCCACAGCCACATAAAGCAAATGCTTTAACATTCCTTAAATATGTTTAGAACTATAGTCATACCTCGGGTTAAATATGCTTCAGGTTGAGCACTTTCGGGTTGCGCACCGTGGCGACCTGGAAGTAATGGAATGTATTACTTCCGGGTTTTGCTGCTCGCGCAAACGGTCAAAATGACGTGGGTTGCGTTCACTTCAGGATGCGAACGGGGATCTGGAATGGATCCCGTTCGTATCCAGAGGTACCACTGTAGCGATGAAGAATAACATGGGGTGAGGAGAGTACAGAATACATACACATCTATTCAAAGTTTCTTGCCACACTACAAGTTGAGTCCAGATCTCACCAAGTTTGGGTCTTGTAATGTTATCAACGGATGGGCAACTGCTGCTAGCAAACCAGGAAGTAAGGAAGGCCTTATGTTGAGGCAGCTCCCAGCCAGCTAAATGAGCAGAATCCAGGCATTTGCAGGTTATAATTTCTGAACTGGGTGCGGTGAATAAAAGGAAGTTCTTACTTGATTTTTGTAATAGCTTGGTTTACCCAGTGCAGTTCTAAACTGAGTCAAAGGACGGTTGCCCATTACTACTTACATGTCTATGTCCCTTGTTTTTGAAATTCTGCTCCTTGCTCACACTTAGTGGGCTCTTCATTTGCATTGTGCCGCTGAAATAAAGGATTCTTTATGCAGCCAGTGATAATTACTTGTGTGCCTGACACCATCACATGTGAGAACTGTGGAGGGACATCAATAGTAGGAGCTATTTGATACAATTTACCGGTAGTTTCAAAATAAGGTACCTCCCAACCAATACTTTTGTTTTAGGAGAACTGCAGAGAGAACCTTAAGCTCAGGCTTTGGTGACCTTCAATGCACATGGATTTTATAACTATTGAACTAACAGTGCAAATGCCTCTGTTTGGGCTTCAGTTGTGAGAAAAGATGTGTTAGGCCCAAGTCATTTAAAGGCCATAAATTAGAACAGGCCACAGAACACTAGTGTGAAGTGCTAGGTAACCCAGGGCACGGCACTCGTGAAAACGGTAAATTCCATAAATTAGAACAGGCCACAGAACACTAGTGTGAAGTGCTAGGTAACCCAGGGCACGGCACTCATGAAAACAGTAAATCCCATGATAAGGATAATTAGGAAAGAAACTGAAAATAAAACTGCCAGTATAATAATGCTGTTGTACAAATTGATGCTGTGATAGTATTTAGTTTAGAATACTTGCATATTTTCCACAGACATCTGGTAGGATGCTGGACTAGATGGGCCATTGGCCTGATCCAGTGGGCTCTTTTGTTCATAGAATCAAAGAATGGTAGAGTTGGAAGGGACCCTGAGGATCATATATGCAGGAATATGCAGCTGTCCCATACAGGGATTGAACCTGAAACCTTGACATTATCATAACCAGCTAAGCTATCTGAATATTTCCTTCCTGTAGACAGTACCACTCACACACAACCTGCAGTTAACAGCAACAGCTGCCATGGGTGCTGCTGACATTACATTTTGCACCCTCCCACCTGTTCTTCCATTTTTAAGTACAAAAGACTCAGTCTAGATCTGAGTTAATTATTTTTTATTAAGTCATATTTAATGTGCAGCATAAACCAGACAACTGCCCATCAATAATATTCCACATGTACAGTATCCCTAATCTTTGCAGTCTCTTAATTTAATGCAGAATACTGTAATCTAATTTCACAGTGACTTCTCATTTCCCCCCTACTTTTATTCAATGCAAAGGGTCAAGAAACATTACCATACCCTCAAACATTGCTCTGATGAGAAAAGGGATGTCCCATGATAGTTTTACTATTTATACTTCATACTGGGTTGCCCCAGCCACTCTGGGCAGCTTTGAACATATATAAAAACATAATAAAACTTTTTAAAAACCTTCCCTATACAGGATTGCCTTCAGACGGCTTGACAGTCGGATAATGCCATACCCTCCAACATTTCTCCAATGAAAATAGTGACATCCTAAGGAAAAGTAGGACATTTCTGAGATCATATCAGAAACCGGGACAGCTTCTCTAAATCAGGAACATCCCTGGAAAATAGAGACACTTGGAGGGTCTGGATTACCTTTCCTTTGTGGTACTCCAGACGGTGATGGACTCCAACTCCCATCATTCATGCCTCTCGGCCTTGTGACTCCGGGTGATGGGACTTGGAGTCCAGCAACATCTTCTGTTTAGTCCCGTCCCCGCCCCCCCCCGCCTGCTTTTGGGGCCTGGTGCTTCCAGAGCAACTTACTCGAGAGAAGGAGAAAAGATTGCGCGAGATGAAACTCTGCACAGATCTGACCAATGCCAGGTTTTTTTGTGTTTCCTAAATCACACTTCTGGCCACGTTGCCGGTTTAGACAAACGTTTCTGCCAGGGCACCCTCTTTCCTCCTTTGCAAAGCGGGAAGAGGGGGGAAAACACGAGCCATTTCTCAAAGCGGCAGAGAAAGCGAAGCCTTTGCAGAGTCACGACTCTGCCGCTGTCCTGAGCCCAACGGGGTTGCTTTCCGAATACAAACGTGCTTCAGGATCGCGGCCGAAAATGGTCCGCAGGCGCGCGAGGTGCCGAAGCGGGCGCTCTTTTGTGAGCAGCTCGGCGGCGTTTCCTGCGGGAAGCGCGGAAGGGCTGCCAGCCAGCGCGGCGGCGGCGGCGGCTGCTTCTCCCATTTCCTGTGGGCGCCCTGCTGAGGGAACCGCCGGCGAGGCGCGAGGGACTCTCCGCCGTCCCGCTCCGGGGAGGAGGAGGCAGGCGGAGGGCGGACTTGCCGCTCGTGGGTGGGGTCTCCGTTTCCTCGTGAGGTTTCCTGCCCGGGTCGCCCGGAAGGGTTGTGGAGGACGGCGGCTTTTGTTGTGTGTGGAGGGCGGGGGGGGGGGAGCGACTCCCTGGCTGAGGCGGCGTTTTTTGCTTCCTGCGTGGGATACTGTTGCGCGGGGAAACTCTGCTGCTGTGAGGCATGGGGGCGGGGCGCACGACGGTCTCGTTCGCGCGTGGAGAAGAGGAGGAGGGTTGCTCTGGGGGGTGGCTGGGAAGTGTGTGTGTGTGGCGGAGGGATGCTCTGAAAGAAGGCGACTTCGCCCTTTCCCGCCTCAGGGAAATTCAGCAGCCGAGAGCTCGGGCTCATGGTCGCCGCCTCTTCTCCCCTGCAAGCCGCAGGAGGACCTCTTCGCGAATTTACGGGATTAGCCCGGAGCCACCTGGTGCTTGAGATTTCCCCTCCCCCCTCTCTCTCTCTCTCTCTCTTTTCCCCGCCCACTTCTCGAACTGACCCCCCCCCCGCCCTCCCTTAGGACCGGGGAACCTGCCCGCGCCTCGCCAACCCAGAGAATATATTTCTCGGGGGGGGGGGAGTGCCTTTTCCCATTGGCTCCGGTTCACAGCCAATCGTCGCGGCGGGCGAAAGTGCCGTCAGGGAAAAGGAAAACCCTGAGACTGTGACGTAAGAAATGGAGTGGAACAAGGGGCGGAGGAAATGGAATCCCGGGAGGAGGAAGGAGGACTCGGCGATAGGTGTGTGCGAGGGAGGGAAGGAGGAGTGGAAACGGGGCGCGCAAGATACACCCCCCCAAAACAAGGCTGTGCAGTCTCGAGCCCTGGATATGATCGGTGGCTTCTAAAGAAGAGTTGGGAAGGAAGCCAAATTCCGGGAAGGGGATGTGGGGATCTAGGAGCGCACCCCAAACTGGGGGGGGGGGGGGAATGAGTGCAGCTTAGTGGGAAGATAATTGTGGGTTGGGGAGAGGCACCTTGGAGAGCGGAAGTTAAGAGGTGTTTGCGAAGTAAGGAAAGGAAGAGGTTACAAACCAGAGGAAAATGGGCTTGGCGTCCTAATGTGGAAGTGGGGAGGATGGTGCTCTTACAGTCTGGACCAAAGGGTTTAGAATGACGAGGATGTGTTTCAGACACAATGGAGCAGGATCCAGCTTGTTCTTACACATTTTTCTTTTCTTCTCTCTTGCAGGTTATGAAACCCTTTTCCTCTTCTTACCAGTATGCCATTAAGCACATATTTTATTATCTGTCATCAACAGTCCTTACTAATGTTTCCCCGAAACTCTTCCCGATGAGAACCTGTTTTTCAAGAATAGGCAATTTTATTTAGCTAACTTATTATAACTTTGTCCTCTTCTTTCCCTGTGCTTTGACCTACTTCATATATTCTAAATGATAACTACTGTATTTTTTTAAAGGAATTGTTTTTTGGCATAGTTTCATATTTGTATTGTATATATGCAAGCAGACTTTGCAAATCTCATGCACAAGATTATTATGTGCAGTTGCAAAAGCATTTCTTGCAGCAGATTTTGCAATGTGTTTGAGTGATTCACTTTGGATCTTTTGAACTTGGTCACATCTTCTCATTTCAGGAAGTTTGCTTGTCACAACACTACCCTAGACTCAATCCAGTTCCAGCTAACTTCTTCTTTTACTCAAGCTTACACTTCCTGAGACACACACTATATATATATATATATCACACACGCACACAGCACAAGTTAAGTAATCCACCTGGAAACATCCTGCACTGGAGCATGATGCCTTTTCAGGTCCTCTCCCTTTCACTTGGTCCCATCCCTGCCACAGTGCCATATTCCCTTATCCCTTTAGGTTAGTACCTCATAGTCATTTTTGCTGGTATAAGATTTTTTTAAAAAATATGTTAAAAATCTGACAACAAATATGCAAGAGGGGAAGATAATGACTCAATTTAAAGCAATTATTCTGAAATTATTCTTAAAAAAATCAAATTGTAGGTTCCCTGGGCTTTTTATGACATAACTTTCTATTCATTTAGCAGCTTTTTGAAGTGGTAGTGCAAGCGTATACCATTGGAAATCATGTGAGAATCATTTTTCTCCATAATGTTCTCTGGGACAATCCTGGAAACAGAATCTTAACTTCTTACTGGATTTTTTTCTTGCTGAATCACCTCAGGAATAGTTTCTAGTCAGTGTAACCATTCTGCATGTCACAGAATTAATTCTCTATAGAAGCAGAGATTGTTAGCTAAAATAAAGTATCCTAAGTAAATAAGAATTAGCCTCCTATTTTGTTTTGCATTCAGTTACTTCTTTGCTGCCATTATTAATGCATAATGATTGTTTCAAAGTAGTGGTAGTGTGGACAAGTCTTTTATAATTTTACATTAAAATAATTGTGATTTTTATGATGAATGATAGCAAAAGCTCCAGTTTTGAAGAAATCATGAAGTGTACTTGTTTCTTGCCATGACAAAGGCTCTCAGTTATGTATATACCGTATTTTTCCGTGTATAAGACATCCCCTATTTTGGGGGACTCCAAATTAAGAAAACACCGCTCAGCACTACCCGTGTATAAGACGAGCCCCAATTTTAAACCTAATTTTTTGGTTAAAAAACCTAGTCTTATACATGGAAAAATATGGTAAATATATTTGATATAAACACTTAGAAGAACTTCCTTCCAACAGAAGTCCAGTCTAAGGGCAATAGAATAGAACTGGGCTTAGCATTTCAATCTGTGTACCATGTATCTTCAGATATACACATATATAGATGTATGTATGTTAATAAAAGGGAGCCCCTGCTCTGTAAAATAGTAAATATATAAGAGTTTCCAGAGGAATAGCCGTGTCTGCTGCAGCAAAACCAACAAAGAGTCTTGTGATATCTTGAATACTAGCATGTTTTATCGTGTAAACTTTTATGCATTAAATTTCAAACTGTTTAAAGCTGTGAACATTTTGAAGACTTGATTTTGCACATGGATTTCTTGGCTTGTTTCGCTGAAGGATTGATTTGACAACACTGTGGAATATATTTGCTTTGTATTTGACTGGGTTCAACCTGTTATTTGCTTGAACAACTCTTTGCATTCTGTTGTCTTCCTAGGAAGCTACAAATACATCATTGACATGTCATGTAATATGTGAAAACCATGACAGTACATAGATGCCATGTTGAATTACTTGTCACTTAGTGAATAGACAGATCAGCTTCTATGTATTAGAAGGAGGAATCTTTCTTCCAAGAGTAGGATCCTGTAGACATTATCTATGTTCTTGAATCTGCCATGAACCAATTAATTGCAGTATGATTGACAAACTTTGTTTCCTCGTTTAAATCCAAATTGTAGTTTGTTGATGTGTACAGACACAGAGGAGGCAGTGATCGCATGTACAATTTTTGAAAAGCTGACACTGTTTTCACACCTGGCATGAATCCAGCTTAGCAGCACACGTGTCTGCTCCTTCATAGTGAAGTTGTGTTCCATCAGCTGTCTGATGTCCACATCAGCAGGTCAAATACTGGAACAGCTTGCTGCATCTACTCCAAAGACGCTTCTGTATACTTGGAGAAGGTTTCACTAAGGATCTGGCTAATATGAAATCTTTGAATGTCACTGAAATAAGACATGTTCTTGCTTCACCATTCAGTTTTCAGGTGGGGAATGTCTTTTTTCTGGACTGGTATGTATGCTTTCCTGGTATGTTTTATCTTCCCATTATCACTTCTCCATTATTCCTTTTTTCCAGCATGAAAACAATCAACCTAAACACCAAGAAGGCCTTGCAAGCAAAACTTTGGCCACAATAAAGGATCCACTAAAAGAGAAGTGGTGATCAAAGTGTATTTATGATACTTATTCTAAGCAATATACAATTATACACTGAAATGTAAGCGCTGTTTTTTTCTGTGCATGACCTTGTATGAATGGTTGTGTGTGTGCACTTACATGCTTGCTTCATATGCAGTGACAGGGACCATAAACTGTTGCCATAGAATTATGAGTAGGCCTGGGTGATGAAAATGTAGTCTGGGGAGAAACATTTGAAAATGGTGCATCTGAAAGAAAGAAGAATGGAATGCAGCAGAGGTAGAGCTGGGGCATGGGCCTTGGAAGCAGTACCTGTCTGGGCAGTGGGTGGCAGGCTTTGTAGCTTGAAAGTGTACTGTCAGTGGGTGGGGAACACCCATACTTGGTGAAACCACAGTCAACTCACTTTCAGGAGAAATAACTTGAGGAACCAGTTCATACTGCTACTGTGAAAAGGCCATCAGTAGCAATAAAGGTGAGTATGCATTCATGGCCCTCACTGCATGTAACATGTTACTTATATATGCATCCAGCATTAAGTTTCTAATGACCACTGAAATCAATAGGCTTAGGTGTGCTTAACTCTGTGTTGGTATGTAGCTTATCCTGAAAAAAATACTTTTTGTGTATACTTCGTTAAAACCAGTAATTCAAATATTGTATTGACACTGCTTGCTGCAAATGCAGTCCTATACACTTTTACCTGGGAGTGAGTCACATTGTGGGGCTTCTGAGTAGGCATGTATAGGATTGCATTGTAAGACTATATTATGAACCACCGCAATCTGCAGTTGTGACTTTAAAATACTGAATTTTCTATAAATATAGATTAGTTCCCTTTCTCCATGTTTGTAATATTAGTAATAAAAAAATTGATTTAAAAACAGTAGTTACCTTTTTATTTAACAACAGTGTTAACTAATTTTTAAAAATAACATATTAATGTTTTTAATGGAAAATCGTAGCTAATCTATGATAAGTGATCTTTTGGTATTCCCCTTGGGATCAAAAGGGTGATGGGAATAATATGGGACACAAATTTGTTCCACATTCCCATTGTATAGGGTAGCATATATTGTGAGGCCTAGTGTGGAATCTTAAATTGTGTTAGTGAATTATACCCACAGCAGCTTTCTCAAAATGTTGAGATCTTGGTCATTATTATATTTTTAGTCTGCCTTTCCTCGAACCCAAAGCAACATAGGTTCTCCCATCCTCTCTATCCTTGTAACTCTGGAGTGAGCAGAGACTAATAGAATCATAGAATTGTAGAGTTGGAAGGAACCATGAGGGTCATTTAGTCCAGTCTCATGCAGTACAGGATTATTTTGCCCAACATAGGGCTCAAACCCACAACCCCAAGATGAAGAGTCTCGTGCTCTATTGACTGAGCTATTCAGTAGAATGAGAGACTAGTTGAATTTATTATGTACCTCTTAAAAGTAGGCATAGTAGAATATTTTGGGAAGTCATGTTAAATTATATGAACACACTAATCAAGTGTACCTAGAATAGTTAAGAGAAAAAAACCAAAACCAATTTCTCTTCTAGATTCTATTATATGAACCTGAGAACAACTGCCAAAACGGTCTGTTTCTCTAGCTGTCCGTACAGCTAATTGTTTCAGCTACTAGCATCCACCCTGGACTCAATATTAACAGGAAATAGTTGCCTAACATAATCTGCAGATTACCCATAGAAAGTTACATGCATCTGCTTGGCCTCCCCTCCTACTGCTCTGTCATCCTTTGCTCACTTCCTCCTTTGCACACTGTGGGGCAAAACCAAAGTTCTGATTGCTACAGTCAATTCTAGAAGAGAGTAGGTGAAGTGATGAATGGAGGAATGGATTGAGGGGTTGGGGGCTGTAGCATCCTGTCTCTGCCTGGGATCTTTTGTAAGCTCAGCAATGATTTATGGGTTGTTATTTGGCAATCCTAGAACAGAATCTTCTGCCCACTACAGTTCCAAACTCTTCTCCATTTTGATGTGATGGATTTTAATACTAGAGGCTTCCAGAGTACCCAAGGCATGAATTGATGGGGGCTTGTTATACACCTCGCCGCTCTCCTTCAATGAGCATTGAGCACGTTCTTAACTGCTTAATCAAGTGTTTGTTTCTACATATATGCTGTTTTCCAGTTTAGAAAAAGTAATGCCTCTGTGTGAAGATAACATATAGCAGAATCTAAAACTAAGCAGCGTAAAAATGTTAAGTGCTACACTGTACTTTTTCCACCTCTTGGCTTCTTCAATTTCAGCTAACAATGTTTCAAGACACAAAATTTGTGGTCTGGATTTTGAAATTCAGAAAAAAATAACTGATTTAACAGATTATAAACTCATACTGAAAGTAGCAGCTAGTATAATGGTGAGCTTTCTTGATGCAGGCTAGAGATGTTTCAAGATGTATATTCAGAATTGCTTAACACATAAATGAGTTGTTTAAAACTCTTTACTCACAACAGGTGTTGAACTCACAATATATGTAAGTAATGGGTGGACACACCCAACCCCCTTCCAGAGCTGGATTATGAAAGAATTCTAAATAGTGCACATATGGAACAAGGGAATAGTATTCTGGGCTAATTGACATGTAATGTACACTTATGATCTTATGCGTATATGAAGTCCATGTAACGCCTAAAATGGTGAACTTTAACCTCCAAAGACTTAGAATGAAATCTAGTCTAACCATGCATCAAATTATAGCAGTGCTTGAGCCACTAAACTAAGTTGGGTATCTATTTATCCAGTGAGTGCTCTGGTGCCTTTAATAATTGTGTGGCATGCAGATGTTTCAGACTTGCACCTGCTAGATATGTCTACCATATGTGTATATATAAAGTACAAGAACACAGTCTTGAGTCAGAAATTAAAACTTCATTGGAGAGCTGCTGGGAGATGCAATGGCATTCATGTGTGATGGGACTTCAGAAACATGAAACCTGAGGATAAGCAAATGGCCAGCACGCTTATGGCCTATTCACATGAACACTTAAACTACATTAGCAGATAGTTTTGTCAAATATTAACCTGGATGTTTCATCTCTACACTTAAAAGCCCTGTGTTGGACCTTTCAGAGGTACAGGCCTGATCTCCTAATTGGAGTCTTAAATAGCATTAATTCTTTCTCTGTTCCCTGGAACAGAGATTTGGATTCAGAGAAGCAAGCAGAGTTCGTCCCCATCTTCACAAGTTTATTGAAAAGAAGTGGTATTTTCTGTGGAGAATGGCTCTAGTTTAAAAATTTTGGTCGTTCATGGGCTCCTTGAATTTAGAAATTATTCCACGCTTTATCATTTTACAGTAAGGACGAAGTATCGCCGCCCACCCCAACTACACATGGAAGATCCTGTCTTTATATATCGCCATAAATTGCTAAATATTGGGGGGGGGGGGAGACACGGGACATCCCATGATGCGGGCAGGAGGCGGGCCGTGGTTCTGGGACAATTCCAGCACAGGACACATGGCGGTTGTTTCATCGCGTGCACAACTAACACTGTGCCCTTCAGGCGGACGCGGTTCTAGAAGATCACACGTTTAAGGCGAGATTGGCAACGGCAGGTTGGAAGCACGACTGAACACACCGGGGCGGGCAGGATTCTCCCCTAGAAACGAGGCGGCGGCGAAGTCCTTTGGAGAGTCTTTCGGTCGCAGGTGCTTCTCCCACCCTCCGCGCCCCCTTCTTCTCCCATAATAACTCTGTGGAAGGAGGGTCCCTTCTTTTCCTCCCGGGCGCCGCCGAACTTTTCCACAACACCGGCGGGAGTTGCTCCCCTCCGCCTGAAGCGGCGGCGGCGTGTTCTGTGCGGCCAGGTTAAGCTGCGTGAGGCCCCGAGCGAGCGGCTCAGTCCTGGGAACGCCGCCCCTCTCTGGCCGGCCATTCGCCCGCGGGCGAGGCAGGGCGCCACCTCGCTATCTCCATGTCGATATCTGGGTCTTGGACGCCGTCCTCCTTTCCGCCCCGCCCCCCTTCCCCTCCCGTCGCTTGAGGGCGGCGGGCGAAGAAGTGGGTGTCGACTTGTCTGAGCCCTTGTGTACCCGGCGCCCTGTCAGCGCTTGACGCCCCCCTCCCCCAACCGTCCATCTCCCTTTCCTTCCTTCTTTCCTGAGGGCGGGGGGCAGAGGAGGAGGAGGAGAGTGTCCTCGTGGAGAGCGGAGGCCGCGGGGGGGGGAGGAGAGGAGGAAGGAAGGAAAGAAAGCGGAGGAGGGAGTTAGTGACCTGACCCCCTCCCCCCGCTGCCCTTTTAGGAAGGCTGGATTCTTGCATAAATTATGCCGGTGGCTGATGACGTGTAGCCTTGTGGGGCGGGGTTTGCGGGCGCGCGCACTCTCCCTCCTTCCCCCCCGCCCCGCTCGCTCGTCCGCGGGAGGCAGGCAAGGAGGGAGGGAGCGAGGGCAAGTGGCGTCGGGGACGCGCCTCGTGGCGGGCGGAGGGAGCGAGCGAGCGACGGGGCGGGCGAGCGGACAGGCAGGGGGCGGTAGCAGCAACGGCAGCCGCTCGGCTGGCTGGTGTGTCGCTCGGCTTTTGCGGACGCGCTCGGGAACTATCGGATTAAACTTGAATCGAGTGAAATTACACAAAGGAGCGAAGCGGACCCGGGACCCGGTGGAGACCCGGAGACCCTCGCTGACCCCCCTGCCCGCCCGCCCGCCCTTCTCGCCGGCCCTGGTCAGGGATCTCCGCCCGCCTCGCTTTGACCGCCCGGCCGAAACCAACTCCCGGTGCGTGTGCGCGTGTGTGGGTCTCTCTCTCTCTCTCTCTCGGTGTTTGTTTGTTTGTGAGGGAGAGGCGCTCGCTCTCTCGCTCGCTCTCCGGCTCTCTCGCCCCCCCCCCTCCGGTCCGCTCCCGAGGACGCCTCCGCCGCGCCAGCCCTGACCCCGGTGAGTGACCCGCGCCTCAGAGCCGCCTCGGAGGCAGCCTAGAGGGCAGCGCCGGCGCGCCGGGCGAGAGAGCGCGGCTGGCCGCGGCCCACAGCCGGTCCGGCGGAGGGCGGGGGGAGCGGAGGGGCGCGCGGTGTGTCGGCGAGCCTCGCCTGGTCCATGTGCATCCCTCGGCCGAGGAGCTTTCCAGGATGTAAAGCGGGGGGTGGGGGTGGGAGAGAGGAAGGAAGGAAAGAAAGAAAAGAAAGAGGAGGAAGAAGGAGAAGCAGCAGCGACGAACCCACACGCCGGTGAGAGCGGGAGCCCGAGCGAGCCTGGCGGCTCTTCTCCGCCTGACCTCTCTCCTCTCCCTCCCCTCCCCCACCTCCCTTTCCTCGAGCGCAAGTTTTGGAGGGCGATTAAAAGGAGAGGAAAAGTTGGGCGAAAGTCTCCGCGGGAGGAGGAGGAGGAGGGGCGGCGGGGGCCGGATCGCGGCGAGCGGGATGAGGCGACGGGCTGAGCGCGGCGGCTCCCCGGGAAGGCTCCCCCCCCCACGCCCGCCCGCCCTGCTGGCCACGCTGAGCGCTCCCGGCCCTGGCAGCACAACAAGCGCTAACAAAGTGCGGGGGCCGCCCGCCTCGCCCCCCTCCACCCTCCCCGCCTCCTGCTAGCTTGACCCGGGGGCTCCTCGCGGACACATGGAGCCATGGGAGGAGGAGGAGGAGAGAGAAAGAGAAGAGAGCCCAAGGAAATGGAGGTGATGATAGAGGAGGAGGAGTGGTGGTGGCGGGGGGGGGGGCGGCGAGAGAAGAGAAGAGGCACGAGGTTGTGCCGGGGTTATTTGTCTTCGCTGGAGAGGAGCGGGGAGGCTGGCGGTGGGAGTGAAACGGGAATCACACGGGGGGGGGGGAGAGGAGATCACGACTGTTTTCCAACAACCCAAGAAGAAAGCGTGTGTGTGGTTTTTTGTGGTGGTGGGGAGGGAGACACGCTCCCCAGGCAGCTTGGATTGGGGCTGGTGGCGGAGGCGATAGCAGTAGCAGCAACAACAACATAATAGGAGACTTAACCCCGCGGACCAAGTCTGCTTCCCTTTCTGTGTGTGTCTCTCTCTCTCCCTCTCCCCCCCCCCCCCCGCCGGGCGATCTCTTCCTTTCGCCTGCGCGCTTCCCCCTCTCTGTCTTTTCCCCTGATCGAGAGCGGGTCGCTGAGAAGGTCTCCCTGGTGGCCGTAGTTTTCCCCCCTCCCTTCCCGAAACCAAGGCCATTTTGAGGGTGAGCGGAAAAGGTGGTTTGAGGCCAGGCGGTCAGGGAGTGTATGTGTTTAGGTTTGATTCATAAAGGGAAATGGGGTTGGCCGGGAATTTTGTTTCTCCTTCGGCTCTGGTGGGTGGGTGCTGAATGTGGGGCTGGTGGAAGTGGGAAGCGGACGCTGGGGATGTGCCGGGGGGGGGGACACACTGGAGGTGGGTAGGGAAGGTTGTTAGTGGGTCACAGGGAGAAGGAGCAGCCATCATTATATTGCATTCATTT